GTTTGAACACTCGTGGCTTGCTCTCTTGACATGTCTAATTTGATATTTCATTATTTTGATATAAGATTTGTCATGTTTTATAGGGGTTTGGATTGTTTTTCACATTTTGTTGTTTTTTAGCATAGAAAGATGAAGTAATCATTTGTTTTTTGCAATTGCTTTAACAAGTTTTTTCTTCTCTGAAATAAAAAAATTGAATTAATTAAAAAATACTATGATGGTTTGCGACTGTATCATGTGGCGTGTTCCAGAATTGACAGTACTTTAAAATAAATTTTGAGAACATAGAAAAAAAAGATGAAGTAATCATGATTAAACTGAAATAGACATGTTGACATCTTAAGTTAGGTGTAAGTTTAAGAACGTTTAAGTTTAAGAAAGTCGAACACAAAGTGACATGACTGAATCTATAAGAAGTGCCGCAAGAAAGAGCTAATTTGGGCATGTTTTTCCAATAGCAGTGTTTTTTGAGTGTTTTAGTTTAGACTGAACAAAAAAGCCGGGCGACTTGACTTTCCACTCCTGAGCCCTGGAGGTCCAACATTTTCTAAATGATTATGCCTGCTTTATGTTTTTCTCTCTAAAATTTGAATGAAGTGTCTGATTTTCTTGCATTTCTATACAATTTAGAGTGTTGACTACATGCCTGTTTACTTTATTCCTTGCTGATTCCACTCATTTTGATCGTATTTTGCATTTTAAAACATCACTCTCGTGATATTTCGATCCCAGGTCGAGTGCTCTTAATATAATACATATACCTTTTACATGATACTTGGTAAAACCTAAATTATGAGTCTAGACAAAAAGTTCTTTGAAACTACATTTTTCACTTATTGACATCGCTAAGGGTGTTAATTTGAGACGTGCTTAAAGCTAAAGTACGAAACATTTTGCAAAAAATGTCATCTTGGATTACCAAGATATGAAATTTTCAAAATGAAAATCACACTTCGAATATGAAGGTTGTCATTTGACCTAAATGCGTGAAGAGAAGTTGGGGCGGGGGGGGGGGGGGTTCTAACAGAGATTCCATAACTCCTAGTTTTGAGCAACTCCCAGAATTTTCTGGTTTCGTTAATGGAAGTTTTATTCGTTTATAAGTGTACTTATTTTGCAAAGCAACTAAATGTGGGAAATGAATGCAATAGACTAATAAATTCACAGATTTAAGTGTTTTATTTCTTTGTGGTATTTTTCGTTATTTAATTATAGCTGACCAAAACCACTGTGTGGGTGATAACTCCTACGAGGGAAATATCAAGATATCTCCTACTAGGGAAATATCAAAAATCGTAGTTGCATGGTTTGAAGTACAAATGGAAAAGGGTGGAATTCGCAAGGAATAAAATAAATGGATGAATAATCAACATATTGAATCACAATGAGAATGCATTAAGATTTTAAAGAGAAATCGTTTGAATAATTTTCAGGGATGAAGTATATTCCCCTCCCCCCCAAAGACATGAAATACACTGTTATTTCTTTAACTCATCATTACGATAAGAATATGTAAAATGCATGCTATATATCCTTAAATCTACATAGAATGCAAATAAAAATTCAGTCATTTATTACTGTTATAAAAAAAGTGTAAGATCCCAGACAAAAATAAAATGGTATTAATAGGGTTTATAGGGCATATATAGTTAACAGCTACATCTACAAGTGGCAATTCAAGTAATAGCTTCCTATTTTCGCCAATTTTATCTAAAGTAAGATAATCTTCACAGACATGAGGAAATTCCTCCATAGTCTGGTTAAGTGAATCACCCTCGCCCCCTCGAGCTTCTTAACACAGGTTGAAGACCACACGGGGGTCTGATCAAAACTTTTATCGCATACACGAGGGGAAGGGGCTGGGTAGGAGGGGGAGGGGGTAAGTCCCAGTATGTAAGTGCAGTTTGGATATTTTTTTAGCCCACATGGGGAACTGATCAAAACATTCGTCAAAAGAAATTATTGCATATATGTGGGAAATGGGGAGGGGGGTAACCCCCTTCTAACTCCTGACCATGTTTGAATATATTTTTTTGCCGGCACTGGGTCTGGTCAAAACATTGACTTCAGTCACAAGACGTAATATCATATATATAATGAAAAGGAAAGAAGGGGGGTTAAGTCATATCATGATGTCATCATTATTTTTTCCTGTATTGTGTTTAGTTACCATAACAACTGGGAAGATAGGATAGTTAGGGGGAAGCTAAGTAACAATTAAATCAAGTTTTTGACAGGATTTCTTTTTATTGAATCGACCCCTTGTTGATGTTTAATCAAACAATCTGGGTTGTAAATACTGTAAATAAAGTTTAAATGACATTATAAACATGAAAGGTCAACATGACCTGAAAATGTTGTACTACTTTGAATCAAATAAACAATGTTTATATCAACAATGCCAACAAGTTTTATTAATTTTCAATTGTCATTAAAAGTAAAACTCTGAGAAACTTATCAAAAAAAGTTTTAATTCACAATCATTTTGACTTGTGTGTGTTATTGATTTGATTTGAAAATGACTTAGCATCCATTCCATTTCGTAATCCCAGTGATAATTTTAGGAAACCGTGGAAATATTTGACTTTTGAAGATTTCTCAATCAGTGTCTAAATCCGAGGTACACTCCCCTTTAAAAGTTTGGCAACTGAAAGTTCCCTTTCGTGTTTATGTTTGGAAATTTGAAAAATTCATCAAATTTGTCATTTTCTGAACTGTCATGATTAAGAAACAAAATCAGGATTCATATCATTCACTTGCTTTGATATGCTATGAAATTAAAGTTTCTGATTCCAAACTTATGGAGGGGGTGTAGATATGGAGATGTGGGGGGGGTATACAGGTACTCCAGGCAAAAGTTTCCACAAAAATAAATATTAAATGTAAAAGTCACATTAACCCAACAGGAATTGCACTCACAACCTTTGATAACATTTCACCCTCCAGGACTGTGGCTCGAATTTGGATCACTTTAAACGTCTATATTTATTTATTTGAATGTTAATAGCTTGTAGAGCTTTTCTATGTAGAATTAACCAATTAAAAAGCAATCAATGGTTGCTTTTGCATATTGCTCAACTTTCCTCTCTCAAACCTGTAATAAATTCTACTGCTTCAAACACTTGCTTTTTGTACTTACATTATATATATTTAATAAGAATTTGGGGGTTGAGCCACCCCTCTGGCCAAGAATTCCTTACAAAATCATGCAGTTTTTACCATTTTGAGCAATTTTGCAGTTTTTATCATTTTGAGCAATTTTGCAGTTTTTACCATTTTGAGCAATTTTGCAGTTTTTACCATTTTGAGCTTCAAGAGAGTTTAGCATAACTCTAAATAAAATGTAGTATATTTAAACTGCCAGTCGGAAGTACAAATCAGAGTAACACCTCAGGTAGAATTTTGCTAAGTTTGTTTACATTTGAATCCTAGACTGGTACTGATCAAAATAAAGTCTTCCTATTGTAAATGTCTATTCTAGTATATATATCTCAAAAATCTTGGTGTATGTCATTACTACTTAGAGTGTGGGCTGTTTGAGGATTCTTTGAGCTGAGTCAACTTATTTTTTATTCAATATCTGTTTAAATTCATGTCAACATAATAATTGTTGTTATATTTTTGTGGTGAGTGAATGGATTTATTATTAGAACTCTGAAGTCATCGTTTGTTATATTTAATATCTGTTTTTGAAATTCATGTCAAATAATTGTTATTTTTTGTGAATGAGTTCATTTCTAGAACTCTGATGTCATCATTTAAATCATACTTGGTTTTGCTAGACAACTTCTAGGGGTGAATCATATTTTAAAATGCAAAATTGAGCGAAAAGAGAGGAATCAGCAAGGATTAAAGACAATTCATTCAAATTTTTGAGAGAAATTTTTAACAGATGAATGTTTTAAATAAAATTCTCAATGAAATGCAAACCGAAATGAGAAAAGTCTAACATGAGTGCATTTATATTGATCACATCTCAAACTTAAATGGTGAATGCTGATTGGTCTAATCTGGTCACATGACTGGTTGATAATTTGATATATCACTCTCAGCAAGAAAGGCTATTAACCTACTATAAGAACACTACACTTACATGTGAGATATGAAATGTTTATGTATATTATTTAAGAGAGTTGGGTCTATTGCTTTCCGAAACATGGAAATCTACTTGGTCTCAACTTGAGTGTTTCAGACAAGTCAAGTGCAAATATTTATTCTCAGAATGTACTTTTACTTGAGAAAATGCACTTTTAGTTGAAAAATGCACTTTACATGAGGCAAAGCATATTTTTGAGGCATTTTTGACCAAATTTGGTCTAAATTGTGAAAATAGGGATTTAACACCTACTTGAGAAACATCCTGGGGAGAACACTGTATGTATGATAAAATGGATATACATACATATTTCTTTTACCAGGAGTTCCCATTAAAATCCTCATAAATCACATTGTAAAAAAACATTTCACAATCTAACTGATTTATAGTGAAAACATTAACATGTGACTTTTTAATTATAGGCCCTAATTGGAATTCAGGTCAATGACTATATAAGGTCAGAATGACTATATAAGGTCATGGTCTAACTTTGAAGCTCTCTTTAAGACTTAGCACCTTACAGGACCCCTCAGTGTTTCCAGCTAATGGTCCATTAATTGTATTTTTGTGTTGGTTGATCCATTTATGAGTTCACAAAGTTTTTTCCCTGCTGTCTGTAGACTGTATATTCAAAAAAAAAATGTATATTCAAATGCTATTTAATTGTTTGAAAAAATTGAAATCTCGTAAAAATTATATGTGTTCACTATATATTTTATATATACAATATTAAGTTTACAAGATTTGGACACTTCTCTACTTTATTTATTCATTTATTTATTGATTTATTTATTTATTTCTCAATTCACCCCTTAAAGGGTATACGAGTACAAAAACATTTATTAATTATTTATTAATTGATATTTATATAAAAGTTTCTTAATGAAAATGTATTATTTTTCAGCAAAGGGGAGATATTCCACCTGGTAGGGACTGTGCAACTAGATGTTCAACAAGTGGCTGCCAATGTGTTGGAGAAAAAGGCTCAAGGGTAAGTTTGAAACTTTTTGAACATCTCTCGTATATATACATTCACTTGTTTTGTCCAGATGTTAAAATCCATTGAATTCACTTTAATTAATGTTCAGATTTATATGTTTTAAATGAAAATTGATAATTATGAGTGCATATGGTCAGATTTCTGAAATAATCAATTTACTAAGCTGCAAAATATAAAAAAAACAGATTTTATGAAAATAGTAAATTCTGTAATTACCCTATTGTACGTGGTTCCTTAAAATTGGGATGACTTGAATACCTCCATCTGTGTTCCATATTATTATTGGGGGTGTATGTCCTAATATACACCATATAGAATATGAATGATATACTATTTTATGTACAATTATTATGCGGCAAGGAAGATCCAGTAACTGTGAAAGGTATGTCAATGTTTTATGAAATATTTCTTCAACTTAGGAGGCATCTGTCAATTACTTATTGATCACCCCTCGTATATATTTTTATGCAGGAAAATCTATTTCATTTTGTTGTTTATTGTTTACTGTTTACCTCTATATGGAAAGGTTTTAGATGAACATACACGAGAGGGATGTTCCCATAATTCCCCACTGATATTTATGCGAAGTCAGAAAATGAGAAAAAAAACATTCAAAAAAATTTGACCCAGTCCCTTATAGGCACAGCAGGATGGGATATTTCAGCTCCCTTTGTAAGAGAATGATGGGATATGCTAACCCTCCTTGTTATAGAATGATGGGATATGCTTTCCCTGTTTGTTAGAGTTTCCATGTTGGTACTTGTTTTTACAACATGGAAATAGAATTAGGAACTTGCTTTACTTCACACAACATATTCTGCAGATACCTCCTTGCAAATTAGACACACGAACACCTGCAGACAGACAACTTTTGGATGATTTAATTAAGATCGAACATATTTAAGGATTGATCATTGAAAAAATGCATTTGGAATCAGCGAATGGTGTAAAATTCATAATGTTGAAATTTGATATTGGAAAATTTAAAATTGATGTGCCATTTGAAAGGTCGGAAGAAATTGACACCATTATCTATTTATGTGATTTGAGATAAAGCTGAGATACATAGATATAGCCCATGTACACCCCTCAATAAGTATGGTAATAGGAAATCCCCATTAGATAGCATATAAAAGGTTGTTTGAATCCTAACTTTGTTTCTAAATAACAATAGATTGAATGATGATGATCAATTTGTTTAAAAGTTCTCTGTGACAATTTAAAAAATCATCAAATTTGTCATAAATTCCCAAACCATTGTAATTAAGGAACAAAATTAAGATTTAAACATAGACATATTTGATATGCTATCAAATAAAAACTTCCAGTTGCCAAACTCATTTCGGGGGGTGTATATTGTATCAGTTTATTGATGATGTCATAGTACGATTAAGGTAAGTCCTGTACATTGAATAATCTGCCTAATTAACAGGTGGAACATATCCAAAATTGCCATAAAGGGACTACCTTAAGACCTTACCTCATGTGTGAAAAAGTGTAAAGTGTAAACTTGTTCTCAGGGCATATTCAAGTACAATTGACTGTCTCGCACATGTTGTAGCAAATCGTGCCAAAAATCTTCTCTCGGGTTATGTTTGGGCCACATCTGCTTTTTCTGAAATTAACTCCGGCCTTCTACCTGCTGAACCCTGTTCTGTGCATGCTCATTTCATTAAGAAAGTACGGGAAAATCAGTTGTGTATGATGTCATAATCTTAAAGACATAATAATCTTATAATAATCTTAAAGGCATATACTGTACACTGTTCTAGAGAATTCTGGGATATTTCGGCTGTGTGGTTTTTTCAATCTCTTCTTGTCCGCATATTTTCTCTAAAATTTGAAGTGTCTGATTTTCTTGCTCTGTGCAATAAAAGAGTTTTGACTACATGTTTGTTTTATTCCTTGCCGATTCCTCCCATTTCTCTCTAAAATTTGAATGAAGTGTCTGATTTTCTTGCATTTCTATATAAATTAGAGTGTTTACTACATGTCTGTTTACTTTATTCCTTGTTGATTCCACTCTTTTTCACTCTATTTTGCATTTGAAAACAAGACTATCTTGAAAAACAAAACTATCTTGACATCTTTTTAGGCAGCCCAGGTAATCTAGTACATCAGCATTGAAATTGAAAAATGAGTTTTAAAAAGATATAAGTGAAGAAGAAACACTTTGAGTAAATGAATAGACACTTACACTCATGGAGGAAACATCTTAAAAAACATACAGTAAACTTTTGTGATCACTTAGTTTAAGATAAATGCTTGCTTGTCATGTTTTAAGATTTGAAAAGAGAGGAATTAGCAAGGAATAAAGTAAACAGGCATGTAGTTTACACTCTAAATTGTATAGAAATGCAAGAAAATTAGACACTTCATTCAAATTTTAGAAAGAAATGAGTGGAATTAGCAAGGAATAAAGTAAACAGGCATGTAGTTTACACTCCAAATTGTATAGAAATGCAAGAAAATTAGACACTTCATTCAAATTTTAGATAGAAAACTGCAGAAAGGGCATGATGCCTTTTACTTTTTTCTTGTTTTTTTCACTGAATTTCTTCCTTCATTTGAAACAGAACTGGATGTCTAGTTCAATTCTGGCATTTCTATGACCCAAATGAAACACACCTATATACATTCATTTTGGTTCAAACTTTTTAATCTGCTACCAATATAACCACATTAGGAAACCTTGAAATCTGAACACCTACCCATCTGAACACCTACCTGTCTGAACACTTTTGGCTGGTCCCAGTTCCCGTTCGAATTTACAAATTTACTGAAACAGAAGGGAGATTCCTTTTACTTTATAATATTCCCATCACAAACAATTTGTCTTGAATAATTGGCAAAATTGTTGAATCTAATGATCCCTTTCATTGGACGCAATAGCTGTCTTTTGAATTCTGAATTCAGATGTTTGACTGAAAGGTCAGAGTGACCTAAATACCCCTGATTGACATGTCAGAGTGACCCAAATACCGAAACCTGTTGTGCAAACTTGGAAATAAGAAACATGAATGGGAGAGCAGACTCAAGGTGGTTCGGCTGACTAGATCTGTCAGAACCCATATGTGTTAATCATGCACTATACATATGGTAAACATATTTTTAAAGATTTTTCTTCATAACAAATAGGCGAGGCAGAATGAAATAGATGAGGTAAAATGATGAGACAAATCAAAATGAAATAGGTGAGGCAAATGAAAATATATTTCAAAAGATTTCTCCATATAACAATAAGTCAAGGCATATTTAGATAGGTGAGGTGAAATGAAACAGTCGAGGCAAATTTAAATAGGTGAGGCAAATTGAAACAGTCGAGGCAAAATGAAATAAGCAAAGCAAAATGAAATAGGCTCACCTTTCTCGGTGTTGCAAATTCTACCTCCCACGAGTAACACACATTTACTCAAACACCTGCAGCCAGCGGGACAACAGATAATGGAAAGTACATAGAAGATAATTCGAAGATATCTCACAATGGGTAACCATGAATTTCAAGAGTAATCTTGTTGGTGGGGCCCATGTGCCCCTATTCTCTACCTATACACACACCTACGATATAAGATAATAAAAAATATATGGGAAGATGGCTGGTATTGTGGGAGGGATGAGATTTGATATAAAATGGGTCGGGTTCATGGTTAGATCACTCTAACTTAAATAACACAAGTGATTTCATACCTAGACAACACAGAGAGATTGAAACATACTCTTCGCATTTTCTTGTTCTCTGTAGCTTATATGAAGCGTCTGTTTTAGTTCATTCTTGTTGGAGTTCTATTTATGTACCCTCTGTTGAAGGGGGTGTAAATTTGAAGTTATATATCTTGTATGGAGGGGGCTGTTATATTGAAAATATCAATTTAACTAGATAATTGCCTCAAACAATCATCCCTCATTTTAAGAGTAAAGTGAGGAGATCCTTATTAAAAGGGTTAAAGAAACTACCCACCCTTTCTGTTGATGAATTCTATTTTTAGTGTATACTTGTTCGTTATCATAGAGTTGAGCTAATCTGGAAATTAGCGATTGGAATCACTGAGAACTCTTCTTGTCTTTGCCCCTTTTTAGGATAGCCGCAGTAACACCTGTGTACAAGAACACCTCTCGAATTTGATTTTACCGTATCATAATATATATGAGAGTGTTAGACCACAATGCATTACAAAATGAAACATGACTATAGACGTCCATATTACAGAACTTCAAAATTAGAACACCTGCCAATATGAACACTTTTCGGCAGTAACACCTGCCAATATGAACACTTTTTGGCAGTCCCCATAAACAGGTTTTATAGTATCTTAATATATATGAAAGTGTTATACCATTTCAAAACACAGCAAAAACCTCATTTAAGACACCTTTCTCTTCACATTATTGTGTAATTTAAAGGCAGAATTAGAGAGCTAGTCCCTGAAGAAAAAGCCATGGTATTTCATGGTACAACCATGGTAATTCAATGGTAATTCATGGGTCTTCAAGGTTTTTTCCATTGAGCCCTCATAGAAATTGAAGCAAATTAAATACTTCATTCAAATTCTAGAGAGAAATAGTGTGGAATTGACAAGAACAGTTGAAAAATTGGGGAGAAGTCAGAAGGACATTACCACAATAGATATTTGTTCACAAGCACACATCCTGTTGTGGTATGATTACCTAAATTGCATTGAATCACGCCTGTCTGTGGGTCAAAATGTCTGACAACCACTCATTGATAAGTTTTTAGCCTAAAACCTTTGATTCTAGAATCTCAAGAGACCTGTGCACCTTCTAAGGTGAAGTTCCTTTAACTCATTTTATGTCTTCCCATAGCTATGAGACACTTCAACTTCCTCTTTTAGATCAGATAAATTGAACATTGTGTCAAGATTAAAAATACAATTTCTTGGTTATTGTACATACGCTTATATAATAAGATGAAATATAATGACATCTTTTCCAGACTTTATATACCGACACATAAGAGAGGAATTACCCAGAATTCCTGTAAAAATGAACATAGAGAGGTCTATCTATTTTTATGTAGAGGTTCATGTTTGAATTCTGGGTAATTCCTCCTTTCCCATATACACAAGAGCAAAATTTGGTCAGAGAGTACAACCATTGACAAAAATAACTCCTTGAAAACTAATGGGAGAAAGGCAAAAATATGATTTGTTCTGTTTCTGAGTTTATTCTGTTTCTGATTTGCTCCATTCACAAAAATAAATCCATGGGGGGTGGTGTTAAGCTCTATTTTTAAATAAGTTTTGTACTGTTTCTAATTTGTTCCGCTTGTTTTAACTCTCCCATTCCCAGTGCCACAATGACCCAGTTATAAGCCCCTTGCAATAGTTTGATCTTGGCTTCTGTACAAAACAGTTTTAAAGGCCTTATCCAGTTTTCTCCACAGGAGAAATATGTCTATTAATAGGCATATTTTGACCAATTTTGGTCTTAATTGTGAAAATGAAAAATTTCCACCCATTTGGGAAAAAATCGTGTGGAGATCATCGACCAAACTGAGTGGTTGTTTCAAAAAAACTTTTTCAATTGTGTCTTGATCATGCCAATGTGCTGCCTTAAAAATACCAAAATCAAACATCACGCGACATCATGTTCAATGATGAGGGTGAGTGTGTTGACTCAACTCATGATGTCCACACTTTGGAAATATATTCCACGATTTTTCTGCAATTCTGTTCTCTATAATTGATTAAAATATCTTATTTTCTTGCATTTCTATACAATTAAGAGTGTTAACTACGTGTCTGTTTACTTTATTCCTTCCTGATTCCACTCTTTCCCCTCCTTTTATGCATTTTAAAACATTGCCCACTTAAAAAGAGCTTATTTTCGAGCACATCTATCATGACATTCTTCAATGGTTAAGAATTCGTAACATATGCTCTCTCCACATGTGTTAAGTGGGCGTGTTTGGTGTTTACTCGAAGCGTGATGTCTGCATTATGAAACTTGTTTTTTCTGTGTTTTTCTTGACGGGTTTTCTGCATTTTTAATGATTGTAGTATCACACCATATCATTGTTATAACTGGGGTTTGGTTACACTGCAGCTGGCTTTCAGAGAAACTTTCCTTGTTAAAGAAATGGGACTTTTAGGCTCTGGTTGCATGAAATATGTTTGAGGTAGTTTTTGTACACTGGTTTGTATGAAAAAACTAACTTCAACAGGACAAGGTGAATTATCTGTCATATTAAAATTCCAGGAAAAATGTTCTGAAATGGTAAGAATATGATATGGTCACTTGTTATAGGATATCCTGAATTATGGTCACTTGTTATAGGATATCCTGAATTCAAGCTGTTTAGACATAATTTTTCTATATTTTGGATCATTCTTGAATGAATGGCCAGAATGTTACATTTTGAACTGTACCCACTAAATATACATATCATACCCACTAAATACACATACTGTACACACTAAATATACATACAGTACCCACTAAATATACATATAGTACCCACTAAATACACATACCGTACCCTCTAAATATTCAAACTTAACCCATTTATACACATACAGTACCTTTTAAATATTCAAACTTTACTCATTGAATATTCAAACTACCCACAAAATATACAACGTGCCCCCACTAGATATTCATACTGTACCCACTAAATATACTACATGTACCCACTAAATACACATACTGTGCCCACTAAATATTCATTGTGTTGCCCACTAATCATATAATCTGTACCCACCAATCATGTAAAGCAAAAGGTGAGTAAAGTTTGAGATGCATTTGCAGACTCCATCGACAAAATGTCCTGAATTGAAACAAAATGTCCTGAACTAAACAAAAGGTCCTGAAATGTAACAAAAGGTCCCTAAATTGGATGATATCTAGAGTTTCAAAGATTCTAATTTAGAATTGATGTTTTTGTGTTTTTTAGGGGTTCCCAGGATCTCCTGGACAACGAGGGGAGAAAGGAACTATGGGATTTGAAGGACCAGAAGGAATACAGGGACAAAAAGGCAACAAAGGAGATACAGGACCACCAGGCCCTATTGGACTTAAGGGAGACAGAGTAAGTAGTGTACCTGTCTTGAATCGAGAATAAACAACTCACAATAGGTGGAATTTGTACAATTTATTGTATTAATTATACAATAATATACAATAAGTTAATACTATATTTTGAAAAACATGCCTTGATAGAAGACAGTATTGCTCCAAATTTCCAAGTCATTGATGCTTTCTAAGTACACCCTTTTTCCTACATTGAACATTGTCTACACACATATCATGAAAATTCCATCATAAATAAGAAAGAATATGTAATATGAAAATTACAGGGTTGCAGGTTTTGAGTCAACCTGTATTTAAACAAACATTTAACTATAAGGGACTTAGGGGTAATCATGATAATATCATAATAGTATCATGTTTTGGATTTGAATTCAGAAGCACATACTTATCTTTATCTGACCCGTATATCAAAGGTTACATTCACTTGGCCTCTTAGACTTTAAACATTATGTAAAAATGATCATATTTATTTGAGAAGAAAACAGATTGCTTCATCTTAGTATTAGATTATGATTATTTTGAAGAACAAATACAACTGTAAACCCAAAATATCAAATACCGTCTGCTTTGGATTCAAGATTAGTTTCGGGTAAAACTATAAATCAGAAATAAAGAAAAATGCAGATACAAATCTAATGAGAAAACTCAGCACTTTTTGAATATCTGGGTGCGTAAACATCTCTTGTTTTATTTTTTTTCTAAAAAGGCAGCGTATCAAGGAATTCTAGGATACCATATTCCAAGAAACTTAACTTTTTTACATTTATGTATTCATTTTTCTATAAATTTTAATCCCCACTTTGATCACTATGGAGATGCTCCACATTTTTGTACTTTGATTCTTAAATAACTGCTCCATTTGATAAGGTATCATGTCTAGGAGACAATTTCTTAAACCTAAAGTATAATGAAGATCCATGTGACTATTACAGATATATACATAAATCTTCCATTGTTATATCATACTGTTGACATATAGAATTGCCTCATAAGTAATCATATTGACAATATATAGATATGTGGAATTTGTAAATAAGTCCTATCAATGAAGCCAAAGTCTGGCATTGTTGTAGCAGTTTATCACTTGACACCTTTTGATAAAGTTAATCTAAATCTGCTTATGAATTCTGTTGTAAATATAATTGTTAACATTCATGTAGTGACCCAATGGCCTTGTTACCATTAAATAATATTGCAAATAGAATATGGGGATGGTTAATGGGTACATTTTGGCACATATGATTTCAAAAAATAGATTTTTGTAAACCTGGGTATCCAGTTGGTATCCATAACTTCTACAAGAAAGAGATCATAATCTCTGGTAATTTCTACAAGAGAGAATTTGATAATCCTTTGTATTGAAATATAGATTCATTTTGGTATACATAATTTCAACAAAAGAAATTTTTGTAAACCTTGGTATCCAGAAATAGGCTCATTTTGATAATGACTCCTAAAAGAGAGTGTTTAACCCTTTCATGACGATAGGCTCCATATGGAGCCCTATTATGTAATACCTTTCAGGACGATAGGCTCCTTTTGGCACCATTATTTTTATCTATATACATCAATGGAATGACAATATCTCCAGTTCTATTCAGTATTTTTACACCAAATTTTGACAAGTTGTTCTAATGTGATAATCCTTACTAAAAATTGTATTTCAGTGATAAAATTCAGGGTATAGGTCCTGGGGCATAGGTATTTTGCAGTTTTCCCCTAAAAACTGCTCTTACTTATCCGTCACCAGGGCCAACATTTTCCTCTTATATTCACGTCGGGAAAGGGTTAATAATCATAGGTATCCTGAAAGGAATGTGTTAAATGAAATAGATTTAGGTAATCCAGACTGGGATGGACCACATGATATAGAAAGGGAACCAAAGTTATTATGGCATCATAATTTCTTTCACTAAAGTAATTAAGATAATCCATAATATAACGGGACATCGGGTACATCTCCTATTAAGATGCCATTAATCTCTCTAGACTAAACAATTTATATTTTATCCTGCTTTAAAGTGGTACGTAACTATTACACAATGGTTGCTTGAAGCTATATAGAAACTAGTTATTTTTACTTGTCTGGCAAACTGAATATCAGTTCAGTTTTGATTAACAAACCATAAATCTTACTAAAATATGTAAGAACGAGATATAAATGACATTAAAAGGGGTGGGTGGTTGGAATTGATGGTCCCTGGTTTTTTAGAGGGAGAGGGTGGACTGTATATTATCAACATTGGCCTATCTGTAGCAAATGGCAGGTGGTGACATTTTGCATGCTAATGCCTTGTTTTTATGTTGTTTGCCCATGTCCTAATTATATATTTACCATGTCTTAATCAATTCTAAATTTGAAATTCTAATTCTTAAAAATGTGTGGATGTAAAAATGCCATTATCCAATTCACAGTCAATCTCCTTATGTTTGTTAATGACTTGCATTTGTTTGTTTTACAATGTTATTAATTTGCTTTACAATATTCTGTATTTTTGTTTTACAATATTCTCTGTATGTTTCAGGGCAAAATGGGAACACCTGGACATCATGGAGTCAATGGAATTCCAGTAAGTAAAAATTCATCCATTTTAATCCTGTGTACAAGCTTGAGACAACATTTTGTCAGTCTGCCATATAAATCTAATAAGTGAAAGCTCACAAAGCACCTTCAAGGCTTATGAGCGGGACTATTTTTGATCAGTTTATTATTACAAAAGAAAACACTTAGATCTTTCCTTAAATCTTCATTTAGATCTTTACTTTTATCTTCATTTAGATGTTAACTTAGAACTTTTCTATGGAAATGTTTCAGTCTAATCATATTGCTTCAGCTTCTCAGTTGACACGGGCCAAGATCTAGATCTTTCCTTTGATCTTCACTTTGATCCTCCCTTGGATCTTCATTTAGATCTTTACTTTTATCTTTAGGCAAATCTTTCCTTAGATCTTCACTTTGATCCTCCCTTGGATCTTCATTTAGATCTTTACTCAGATCTCCATTTAGATCTTCATTTAGATCTTCACTTAGTATGAGTGATCCTTTCTATTTTCTGTGCCCATTCAAATACCAGATAACGTTACTGAATTCCAATACAGTGGCTTAAATGACAACTATGCCATCTATTAAATTTGTTGTATTTAATATTCGTTTCAGTATATATTCAAAGATGGGTAACATCCTAAACCTAATGATCAGATGAAATAAGCATCATTAAAGTATTTTAAGAACTAGGTGTGGCCCATATACATAAAAATTGTTAGAGTTTTTTTTGCCAAAAACCTGGGGCCAAGAATTATGACTAGAAGTTCTTCTAGTGTCTTAAACTTAAGAAGAACCTTTCACAGGGGCATGTATTTGGGGGGTTTAGTACAGTTCTCTGAGAGGAAAAAACAATGTGGTTGCTTTTGAAAGGTGAATGGTCAAGTAGGATATTCCATCTCTTCCTTTCTTTGGTATCTCAAGTGGGAGTCTTTAACCTGGTATATGATAATCCATATACAGGTTCACTGGCCAGTAGGTAATCCTCATACCTCTAGTTATGGATAATCTTGTATAAATCATATAATGCTGATTAGGGGCCAGGTTGAACCTTGTGGGGCCCTCAATGTGGATTTTGAAATAGATCAGGAAAAGATGAAGTGTTTAATTAGTCTACATATGTTTGTCAAGTATTCCAAATACAGCTATTAACAATGAAAAGAAGAAAATAATCTTGGGTTAAGATGTTTGTAGTTTGGGGGTACTTTCATTTTATGAGAGCCAAACTGTTTTAAGTTCTGCAGGTCTGTATCCAGGTTTTGCCAAAGGGGAGGTCACTTTCAGAAAATTTCCAGGGGGGGGGTTCATTTTGACAAATTTGGCCCAGGAGGAAGGAGGGTTAGCCCGAATCCCCTCCCCGCCTGGCCACGAGCCTGTTCTGCCTCTCTGTATCACATAACAATTAAATTATATGCTTAGGCATCTGAGTTCAACCCAGAAATATGGATTATATGATTATATTAGAATAACTTTTTTAAATATGGTGCATTCTTATTTTTTAGGGCTTCCCAGGCCATATTGGACCCAAAGGAGAATCTGGTTTCCCAGGATGCAATGGAACAAAGGTATGTTTCTAATAAATTACCCAGAATGCACATGAGTACAGTACCATTTTTTGTAGATATATAAACATATACTACAATTATACTCTAGGACTCTTGAAAAAGTGTTCCATTTAAGGTGTTCCACCTACTGAGGTGTCCAACCCATCCTCCTAAGCAGGTGTCCAGAATCAGTACCTCCTTCTTCCCCCTGCTATAACCACATTGGAAGTGCCCGATTAAACTAAATCACGTGATTTAATCATGCGCCGATGACACATACATGATTGCTGTCACAGTGTTGCAACAGCAAATCAAATTGCGAGTTCTTAATCGGGGAAATACTAACTGCTAATAGCAAGGGGGTAAAAAGAAAGAAGACATTCTGGATTTTGAAGCCTTGTGATCGGAGGATGTGTCCAACCTTACAGGTTTAGTGTCCAGGGTGAACTATGTCTGAAACAATATGTCAAACAATGACAATATGTCAAACAATGACAATATGTCAAACAATGACAATATGTCAAACAACGACAATATGTCAAACAATGACAATATGTCAAACAATGACAATATGTATATTATTGACAATGGACTTTTTAAGATTTGAATTTTCATATTTTAGGGCGAGCCTGGTCTTGCTGGACTCCCTGGACTACCTGGATCAAGTGGGAGAGATGGTTTACCTGGACAGCCCGGCCCTAAGGGAGAACCCGCCAGAGTCAAGGACGGCATTAAAGGACAAAAGGTTTGATTTTGATCTCATATAATACTACAATAACAATAATACAATAAGTAATTTATTGTATTAAATTAAATATATCCTATTTTTTGATTTATTCATTCTAAGTTTGTATACAACAATATATACAAAAGGGGGACCTAATTCAGAAATGCCTTAAACAGTTTTTAATTTGATTAACCTTGTGTTTGATACAATTACAATATACAATAAGAATAATACAATTTTTAATATGTAATATTAAAATATGATATGACAGTTGTATTAATATGTAATTTATATTTTATAATTGAAACAAATTTAAAACGATGTAATTTGTTGTCCTTCAGGGAGACTATGGACAAAATGGCCGACCAGGCAACCGAGTAAGTGTAGAATTTAATTTCTTATACATGTTCACTGGTTCCTACGTATCCTCTTGGCCCTTATTATGGATTATCTGACATAATTCTAAACACACCATTCAGGGCCAGATAATGATAATATATAAATAAAAAAAATTGTTCATTATGCCCCGCCTCTGACGGGTATTTCAAAAACTAGCAATATGTATGATGCGACATCTATCTAAACATTACATTAAAGTCAATTTGCAAGCAAATAACCATTTTATTGATAAAGGTAAAAAAAAACTCTAAAGATTTTTTTAATCAATTTTAAAAAGCCCTTTGACCCAAAAGTCAACATTTATAAATATTTCAAGTTAGGTAAAAATGAACAAAAGAATAAATATCAAAAATGTCTTATTTTAGGGCCAACCAGGTAGAGATGGACCTGAAGGACCCAAAGGAAACCCAGGATTTAGAGGACCACCAGTAAGTGGACATTTACTCATGGTGGATCGATATTACCAGTCAAAATTGTTGATTTTTTTTATTTTCTGATACTTCAAATTAATGTTGAGTTGGTTATTAAAAACTTTAATTACCATGAGAAGTATATAAAAGAAGTCAAAAGCTTGGAAATTTAGTTTAAATAAAAAGTATTTCATCTAATCTTAGTATAGTTTACTGAGCTATATTGTCACTTCTGGACAACTGAAAGTAATTTAATGCTTTCAATGAATAATTCTAGAGTTCTTCACTTTTATATAAATTGCTGTTATTCATTGCTATTTAAAAATATATTCTTTGGTATCAAAATCGAGAAATCTTCACATATGCACCATTGTGCTATGCTCCTTCCCCCTGGTGTTTAGAAATCGAAAATGGAGTGGAAAAGAGTGGAATCAGCAAGGAATAAAGTAAACAGGCAGTTCATCAACACTCTAAATTGTATAGAAATGCAAAGCTTATTGAAACAAAAGGAAAGAAATGAAAAATATGAGCACAATGGTGTCATAACAAGAAGACTTAATGGAGTGATACAGTTTTATATCAAGTATACACTTGATCAGAATTTAGCAGAATTTCATCAAAATTCAAATTCACTTTCATTTGTTGTTGTTGATTTGTTGTTCCAATTTCTATTATTTCTTATTTAAAAAGATAGGAAAAATACACTGGAATTAGAAATATTCTCTTTTTGGATTTTGGATTTCATATCTCATTGAAATATGCAGCTAAATTCTGAACAAAATATTTTTCATCCAACTAAATTAACACTTGTCACACATAGAACATCAATGGGAAATGAGTACGATTATAAATAGGTGGTGATTAAAAAAACATCCTTGGGAAAAAATAAATAATAAATAGAAAAATAGATGGGAAACGAGTAAGATAATTAATTGAAAAACTGAGATATCTAAAACAAAATTTGAGTGACAAGTGTGAATTTAATTGGATCATATGTCCATTGGATAGTATGCTCGTTGGATCATATGTTCATTGGATCATATGGATCATATATTCTTTGAATCGTATGTTCATTGCATCATATGTTCATTGGATCATATGTTCATTTGATCATATGTTCTTTGAATCATATGTTCATTGGATCGTATGTTCATTGCATCATATGTTCATTGGATCATATGTTCATTTGATCATATGTTCTTTGAATCATATGTTCATTTGATCATATGTTCATTGAATCATATGTTCATTGCATCATATGTTCATTTGATCATATGTTCATTGAATCATATGTTCTTTGAATCATATGTTCATTGGATCGTATGTTCATTGCATCATATGTTCATTGGATCATATGTTCATTTGATCATATGTTCATTGAATCATATATTCTTTGAATCGTATGTTTATTGGATCAAATGTTCAATATGTTCATTGGATCATATGTTCATTGAATCATATGTTCATTTGATCATATGTCATTGAATCATATGTTCATTGAACCATATGTTCATTTGATCATATGTTCATTGAATCATATGTTCATTTGATCATATGTCATTGAATCATATGTTCATTGAATCATATGTTCATTTGATCATATGTCATTGAATCATATGTTAATTGAATCATATGTTCATTGGATCGTATGTTCATATGATCATAGGTTCTTTGAATCATATGTTCATTTGATCATATGTTCATTGCATCATATGTTCATTTGATCATATGTTCATTGAATCATATGTTCTTTGAATCATATGTTCATTGAATCATATGTTCATTGAATCATATGTTCATTTGAGCATATGTTCATTTGATCATATGTTTATTGGATCATATGTTCATTTGATCATATTGCCAAGTATTCATTGACTAATAATGAAATAAGTCAATGTGTCCAAAAGAAAATGTTTATAAAAAAAATTTTCTTTACAAAACAATTTGTGTGCTAGCCAGAAAACTAAGAATGTTTACGATATGAAATATATGAAAAAATGAAAAAAAAGAAATATTGAGCAGAAATTCTAATGTTTTATCTATGAGTTTCATGGTTTTCAATATTAGACAATTTTCGATATCCTACTAAAATTATTCATGTTTATGTGATAGTTGAAACATAACACACACACACACAGATTGATTTGAAAAGGCAATAACTGTTTCTATATTAGTAGCCTGGGCATATTAGAATGCTGTCTTTATTGTATATTGAGCTAGGTTAGGCTTACAGGCAGTATGTATTTGACCGGTCTACTATGTTGCATCCTTCAAACACTTGGAACTTCCGAGACTCCTTAAGGAGACTATAGGCCTCTTTTAAAGAGACTATGGGACTCCTTAAAGAGACTATGGGACTCCTTAAAGAGACTATGGGAGTCCTTGGAGAGACTATGGGAGTCCTTAAAGAGACTATGGGACTCCTTAAAGAGACTATGGGACTCCTTAAGGAGACTATGGGACTCTTTAAAGAGACTATGGGACTCCTTAAAGAGACTATGTGACTCCTTAAAGAGACTATGGGACTCCTTAAAGAGACTATGGGACTCCTTAAGGACTTTGTGAGATTGTTTATCTTAAAGTCCTGTGTTTGATGGATCTTATATAACCACGTTTATTAATCACCAAAGTGTGCATATTTTATACAACATGCTTATTAGTTTTATTATGTCTTTCAAATGAATGCATTCACTATTGATATGCTTTTTTGAATGATTTACTTTATCAGCTTCATTTTATACTCTGCCATAGACACATACATATTTTTAATATAGGGTAAGTTCATGTAGGTACTCCGCAGGGTTGGTTGAAGATTTCTCGCTCAGGAGATAATGGGAGGTCTCTCCTTTGAGAGGCAATTGGATAGAGTTGATAAGGCAACTTAACAGTGGCTTCAAATTGGCCTTACAAATCAGTTAACCAATTGGCCTTACAAACCAGTTAACTAATTGGCCTCACCAACCAGTTCACCATTTGGCCTCACCAACCAGTTAACTAATTGGCCTCACCAACCAGTTAACCAATTGGCCTCACCAACCAGTTAACTAATTGGCCTCACCAACCAGTTAACTAATTGGCCTCACCAACCAGTTAACCAATTGGCCTCACCAACCAGTTCACCATTTGGCCTCACCAACCAGTTAACTAATTGGCCTCACCAACCAGTTCACCATTTGGCCTCACCAACCAGTTAACTAATTGGCCTCACCAACCAGTTAACCAATTGGCCTCACCAACCAGTTAACCAATTGGCCTTACAAACCAGTTAACTAATTGCTCTTACAAACCAGTTCACCATTTGGCCTCACCAACCAGTTAACTAATTGGCCTCACCAACCAGTTAACCAATCGGCCTCACTAACCAATTAACCAATTGGCCTCACCAACCAGTTAACCAATTGGCCTCACCAACCAGTTCACCATTTGGCCTTACAAACCAGTTAACTAATTGGTCTCACCAACCAGTTCACTATTTGGCCTCACCAACCAGTTCACCATTTGGCCTCACCATAACCAATAAACCAACTTTATGTTTGCCTCATACTTATATTGCTTCAGATGATTTAGTTGATGTAACTGATTTCTTTTGAAGAAAAATGAAAATTACTTGAGGGGAAGGGGGTGTAATACTTAGGTGAGGAAAGAGACTAGGTAAATGAAGTGGCTTTGAGCTGGGAGATTTCTAAGGGATTTTATCAACAAAGCATGTGTCACCGTAGCAACTCACATTGTGATGTCATACCATGATGCCATGCATCACCATAACAACCCACATTGTGATGTCATACCACACACATATAGCAGACAGTATCAAGAGAATACCTTATATGATACATTTGCTATAAAACACAATGCTACCTGACACATAAGAACATCTTCCGTTGGCATGGAGTTCAGTTATATGTGCTTCACAAACTCACTCGTTACTATGACAACACCTATAACCCTGGCAACAAACTATACCCTAACATTAAGAAAGACAAAATTTGCTCTTACGTTTTGTGCAGTGTTGGTCCAGATTGCTGGCCAGGTAACTAGGGGAGATGGGATGGCTAGTACCTGGTATACCTGATATCCACAAATAGCTCAATAGGTGACCCATAATAGGTGGCCCATAATAGGTGACCCATAATAGGTGACCCATGCAGGGTTGGGTTTGTGATCACTGTGGCTTGAGGCTAATAGAGCATGAGCTTGTTTTGTACAGCTTGGCCTTCTAGGTAGGTAATAGGTAGGGAAGGTTATGGCACAACATTATGCTAAAAAAGTGACACAAAACTGAGATGATGCTGACATCTATTGTAGGGCCGTCAAGGCCCAAGAGGCCCTCAAGGGTGGCCCGGTGACCCTGGAGAATCATATCCAGGCATTCCAGGTGATAGGGGAAATCGAGGGCCCCCAGGCCCTGTAGGGATCCCAGGCATTTGCTATAAAGGAGAAGGACCATTCCCAGGGTACCCAGGTATACCAGGACGGCCAGGGGAAAAGGTGTGTTTCTTTGTTCCTTGAGTAGACTAAGCGGAAACTCTAGGTATTTCTTTTTAGGGATATCCTGGTCGTCCGGGACGTCCAGGACTGAAGGGAAACATGGGTATAGGTATTGAAGGATTGGATGGAGAGAGGGGACCCAGAGGCCCCAGAGGCTTTCCAGGCCGACCAGGTAATTGCAATGAACCAGGACAACAGAATGGAACTATTACCATATCAGGACCTAGAGGTTTGCCCGGGTCTCCGGGCATGAAGGTGTGTCATTGTACCTCTCTCTCTGCATCATCGCTTAGTTCCCTCTCCAATAGATTTTATTTCTTTAGGGCCCAAATGGATTCCCAGGTTTAGAAGGGCCAAAAGGCAACATGGGAATTGGTCTTGAAGGCCAGAAAGGAGAAAGGGGGCGAATGGGACCTGAGGGTCTTCCAGGCTTGCCAGGAAACTGCAGTACATCACCAGGTACAGGACCAAATATCACAGTAATTGGACCACGTGGATTACCAGGCAGTCCTGGTATGCAGGTGTGTATAGAGATGGGTAGAAAACCCTTACAGCGCATCAAACATGCATTAACCCACTGTGCTTTGATTTTTAGGGTCAACAAGGATATGATGGGGTGCAAGGGCCCAAAGGTAACATGGGGATAGGTATCGAAGGTCAGAAGGGGGAGCCTGGTTTTCTTGGCGCCCCTGGCCCCCCTGGACCAGCTGGCCCATCAATAAATGGTTCCGAATTAACAGGGAACGTCACAATCTTAGGACCACCTGGTCTTCCCGGAATGAAAGGAATGCAGGTAGAAATCGACCAATCAAAAATCTCATTCACAATCAGGAGTTGTTTTGTCACATATAACGTCACATTCATTCCCAGCTTTTTATAGATCAGGCTTGAATTTTAGCTAAAAATAATCTTACATATACAGATTGTTTGGCCGGTGAGGGGAGGGAAATAATACTATTTGATTCTAGAGCTGTTGGGATTCATAGGTTTATGAATAACCAACATCTTCCAGTCATTTGAAATACTTCTGCTACAAAATCCTAAATTTTCTTACAATCTGCAGCTGTTAGATTACAATCTGCAGCTGTTAGGTTATAATCTGCAGCTATTTGGTTACAATCTGCAGCTATTAGATTATAATCTGCAGCTGTTAGATTATAATCTGCAGCTGTTAGGTTATAATCTGCAGCTGTTAGGTTATAATCTGTAGCTGTTAGGTTACAATCTGCAGCTGTTAGATTAAAATCTGCAGCTGTTAGGTTATAATCTGCAGCTGTTAGGTTATAATCTGTAGCTGTTAGGTTACAATCTGCAGCTGTTAGATTAAAATCTGCAGTTGTTAGGTTATAATCTGCAGCTATTTGGTTACAATCTGCAGCTGTTAGATTATAATCTGCAGCTTTTAGGTTACAATCTACAGCTGTAGGTTACAATCTGCAGCTTATAGATTATGTTGATTACAAACGTTGATTACAAATGTCTGCAATCTGTATATGTGAGATCAAACGATTTGCATCTTGAAAGCTTATCAGCTTTGACCACCACTGTATTGGCCTGCACTTTAAATGCTTCTGAAATATGTACACGCTCAGTGAACATTCTGCTTATGTCAGTTTAATGGCCTGCTTCTGTCAGTTTAATGGCTCATAGAAATATATTTGTTGCTCTTTGTATGACAGCCCAGAAAAACACAAAATTGAATTATGAAGCTTTTAGTTGCATTATGAATGATTTAATTATTTTTTAATTAATGTCTAGGTTTATTACAGTTAGTAGAGATTATGACAGTGTTGTTCAAAATTGCAGTTCAAAAGCTTTGCATTGCATGGAACATATGATATTGCACTAAGGTCCTTTGCTTATTGTTTACATTTCATAGGCTTATATTTTCATTGCCCCTGACTATCCAACATCCACCATTTACCACAATATAATATAATTTTTTTGCTCAATGTTTTCATTCAGTAATTTTATTCAATGCTTTCATTCAATACTTTCGTTCAATGTTTTCATTCAATGATTTCATTCTATGCTTTCATTCAATACTTTCTTTCAATGTTTTTATTCAATGATTTTAACCTATGCTTTCATATATACTTTCGTTCAATGCTTTCATTCAATGATTTATTCAATACTTTCATTCAATGTTTTCATTCAATTTTTTCATCCAATACTTCTGTTCAATGCTATCATTCAATACTTTCATTCAATGTTTTCATTCAATACTTTCATTCAATTTTTCCTTCAATACGTTCATGTAATACTTTTATTCAATTATATCATTCAATACTTTCGTTCAATGCTTTCATTCAATGATTTTATCCAATACTTTCATCCAGTGCTTTTCAATACGTTCATTCAATGCTTTCAAGCAATGCTTTCATTCAATACTTTCATTCAATGCTTTCAACCAATGCTTTAATTTGGCTTTTGGCTGTTATCTGTTTGCTTTTTACGTGCATTACAATTTTTAAGAAAATTCATCATTGACAGATATAAACTGGCTTGATTTCATATTTATTTAGAGATTAAACCATACATTTTAATGCCATCATTTCAATATCATATCATATAGATGTCATATCATATTGATATCATATCATTATATATTCACACAGCAGATGTTCAGGCTTCAAACAACAAAAAAGAAACTTGATTATACGTGAATGTCATTGTTGTTTTTTTATTTTTTATGGATAACTTATTTCCTTGTTTTTTTTGTAAAGTTCTAAAATAGCTAATGAGGGAAATGAGGTAAAAAAGTTTCTTGTGAAAAAGTATTTTCATCATTTTATATTATTGATAAATGCAGATCATCTTCCGCCATATGCTTTCAGAATGCAATTTGTTTATAGCGATTGTTTATAGTTTGCTTTACGCCAGCTCCTCCTGATTGTGAACGAGATTTCGACTTTTTAATCCTTTAAAAAGTATCCTCTTTGTGTGATGACCTTGATCTCTCATTATGATGTCATAATTGAAGGTGAAAGGTCAATCAACTCTACCTGCCTATCTCGTGACTTACGATATTTAATAACTATTTCATTTTCTTTGACTTCTATCTGTGTTCTATCTTCTTTAATTTTAAAGATGTAGACCCATTCTAAATCCTGGAATGGATCTTCAACTTAAAGGGACTCAACCCGTTTCTCTTAAAATGAAAAAACCGGAGCAATCTGTAACTTACACTATCAGAAAAGTTTAATACAAACCCTTTTTCTGAAAATATCAACTTTCAAAGAATGTTAACTTTAAGAAAAAATAAGCAGCTAAGAAGTATCAAAATCATTGAAGACCCCTATAATATTAAAAAGATCAATTAATTAATTAATTAGGCTGTTGTTAGTGTAAATTTCATTTTGTTCAGATTTTTGTTATTTCTTGACAAAGACATAGTGGTACCTTGAACTCCAGTCAGCTGAAATCTGACTTTTGGAGCACCGGACAGGGTCCGTCTAAACTGCAACCAGACTCATGAGGTCAATGCAACTGATGCAACTCCTATTGTTGCTACAAATAATTAGCTCCTTTTTAACAGTTCTAACCAATGAGAGCCAAGTCGCAGTTTGCACACTTCGGTCTTCGGACCAGAAATGTACAGTGATGTCTGTCTGGGTGTTCCGGGGAACACCTTTGGTACCTCTTAAAAGTGTTCACCTTAGGAGGTGTTTCACTTATAGAGTGTCACTTAACATTAAGTAAGCAGATAACGAGGATAATTATGCAAATATATACATTTATGCTGTTTGTTTGATAATTGTTTCATTTTGATTGTGTACTGCTTCTGAAAATATAATCCCTCATTTTGATCAGACTCAAATATGATTGAAATTAAAAATATATGGGTTTCTTTTAAAAACCTTTGGTTTTGTAAAATAAGATCACAAATCAGAAAAAGTGTTTTGGACAATTCAAATGAATCTCCGTCATCAGACAATCATCATTTTTTATGTACACCCTTCAAAAATTTAGCATTTCCGCCTCCCCATTGGTTGCGTGTTAAAGACTCAGGTTCCTTTACTTTTGAAGGGGAGTGTACATATAAAAGTATTTTTGCAATTTAAATGTAGTTGCTTTCACAGCTGTCAGTTCCTCAAAGTATATGAAAAATTGTAAATAATTCGTCATATATTTTGGAAAACATTTGAGTGAAAAATCTTTTTGCTCAATAATTTTCATAATATTCTTTGAATCAAACTTCATACGTTTGAAAAATAAAAATTTTACAAAAATGAATTCTCAAGAATTGATTCGACACCTGTTAGATGCTTTAGAACTGAAGGTTGTAAAGAAGGTTAGATCAATCCCATGATGCATTTTGATCAAATAAAGGGATTCATGGGATTGGTCTAACTCCCTAATATGTTCAGATTCAAGAGAGGGCCAGTCCCATAATGCAATATTCCCTGGAATAATGTCCTATGGGCTCTGTACATCCTTTGAATATAGTGATACATGTACTGTAATATCATTTAACACAAAGTTAAGCAGGCTCTCTTGTAACTCTGAAAGATCTTTGTTGAAATAAATGTACATTTTAAAACATGGATGTATGTTTTAGAATGTAATGAAACATTTTATGAATATATTTAAGAGTCAGGTCAAAATGTCCATTCCAGCATATTGGCACTTCTGTGAATTTTACAATTTTACAATTTTTTTCAATTTTATAATTGTACAATATTATGATTTCAGTCTTGTGTGAAAAAGCACAAGTCACTGTGCTTGTTATATCAAAACTAAATTATATTTTTGCTGGATGTTGATTTTTTGAGCTGACCCCTAAACTGTACATATCTTCTTGTGTGTCTTAAATGTAATAACTATTGTCTCTTTTATGTCTAATCTTACAATGTTTACATTTTCTCAATTATACATTACCATGGTAACCAAACGTATCATGGGTATCCAATTTCTTATTCTTGCTTCAATTAGTCCCCGAAGCTTCTTTAAATCTAGAAGTTTGCTTCAATTAACATTTTGTTATTTGTTCTATTAACGATTGTCAGAGTAGTATATTTTCAGAGAAAAATATAAGAAATTTTAATTTTGTTTTTCATCTGCTGAAATAACATTTTTGACGATTTATGCTCTTCAAAAAATTTTCAGGGTTGTAGACTTTTTATGTTCTTAAAAATTGACCAAAATGATATGATTTACCTGATTTTAGATTTTCACCAAAGTTAACCAAAAAAGATATCGTGATTTTATTTTATTAAGTACATTTGTACCTGTTTTTGTATTTATATTTGTACGGTTTTACTTTTTAAATTTTACAGTTACAGTTAAGTAAAAGGACCAATTAGTACTTATGTATGATATATCTAAATTGTATACTTGAAAGTTGGCCAAAAAATAGTTTTTTCATGATTCAATCCATCCTCCGATCACAGGGCTTCAAAATCCAGAATATATTCTTTCTTTTTACCCATCACTTTATACAAATTATATCGAGAAAGGGTTATGTTTTCTTTGAGAATTGACAAGAAAGTACTTTCATATATATTTCAATTCAATTCATTTTTGCTTACTTTAACATTTTAACTTTAGGCTTTATAGTGAGACCCACCTATGAAAAGTATGTTCCATTGCTTCGTTAGAAAATGTATACATGTTCTATAATTCTTTTGTGCTCTTATTCGTATTAAACATTTTCTCTAATTTGGGTCTATTTTTGAAATAATTTTAAGTTTCAATTTTAGCAAAACTTAAGTAAAAAATGTTTCACTTATAAATTTGGGTTTTGAAAGAATTAAGGAAACTTATGTTTACAGACCCATTTAGAGAAATAAAAATGATATTCTATCTCTATATAACTATAATATGCTAATTAATAAACTTTAAAAATATTTTCTTCAATCATGTATCACTTTCTTGCTTTTTGGATTGCAAACATATGTTTGTAGGTAAAAGTATCATGCTCGAAGGAAATGTTTTCTTTCTTTCTCTTTCTTTTTCTTTAACATTGGAATTCAAAATCAATCCTTATACTGATCTGTCTATATTCGGCTATATCCATATAAGGACCAGTCCATATAAGGATCTATCCATATAAGGATCTATCCTTATAAGGATTTGATTTGATTTCATATTTTTAATTCTATTGTATTTTAATGTATTCTTATGTAGTCTAGAAACTAAGTAATAGTTAAAAAAAAGTCACTATTGATATATTAATATTATTACATTAATTGTAAACTTCAATCTTTTTTTTCTAGTAAATTTTGTTACATCCATCAACAAAACGTGGAAAAGAATTAGGAAATAAGATATTATAATATTTTAATTTTGATAGTACTCATTTAAAGTTAGAAGTTATATTGTTCAGTTAAAAGAAAAAAACTTTAAATAATAAATAAAATATTTCACTATATAGATCAAAAAAGTAAGAGCATATACTGTAATATATTAATTGTGAATGTTGTTTGAACCATCATGTGTTTTACCTTATAAGGGCATGAAGGGAGACAGTGGACCCCCAGGCTTTAATGGACCACCTGGCCAAAATGTAAGTATGCGTGTAATTAATTTTTTAAGATTTTTTCTATTCAATATTGTAATTCAAATCAATCCATATGAGGATTTGCCTATATAAGGCTTTGCCCATATAAGGATTTGCCTATATAAGGCTATGTCCATATATAGGCAAATCCTTATATGGGCATAGCCTTATATAGGCAAATCCTCATCACAGTTTTGTAAAACTGATTTTTTACTCAAGTATTTCATGTAAAGATTACATGGATGTACCAAACATGAGAGTACTGGTTCAAAATCATAGTGCCCAAATGAATAGATAGTACAGATGTTAATAGCTAATACAAATTAATTTTTCAGGGTCTACCAGGTGTCCCAGGAATGAAGGGGGAAAAAGGAATTCCAGGTATCGCAGGGCCAAGGGTATGTACTTATTTTATTGATTTATTTTTTATTATTTTTTTATGTATTAGTATTTACATTATTTTTTATTTTTAATACTGTACATTATTACAACTGTTATTACAATCTATATTATTAGTAATCATTTATATTAGTAACTGAATTAATCATTGAATTAATAACTGAATTAATCATTGATATTAATCACATTGCAGGGTAAGGAAGGTCTACCAGGCCCAGAGGGTCAGCCAGGTTATGTTGGAGACCCAGGTGCAGCTGGTGCACCAGGACGACCAGGTGCAGGTGGAATGAAGGGAGACCGGGGACTTGATGGCCGCGATGGACCCAAAGGTTACCAAGGACCTCCAGGGCCACCTGGTGTAAGTTTTTCTCATTTGCATAAACAATTCACAAGTTCGTATTATTCACGATTTGGCTTTTTATGTCAAACATTGAGACAAAATGTTGACTGCGAACTTTTTTGCAAAGGTGAACATGCAAAAGTTTTTCCTTAAAGAATGGTTATTGCATGACATGTGTTTAACCAATCATAGAGTCAGAAACATGACATGTGTCCAACCAATCACAGATTGCAAAATGTGACATGTGACTTGTGTTTAACCAATCACAGATTGAGAAACATGCCATGTGACATGCGTTCAACCTATCATAGAATGAGAAGCATGGCATGTGACCTGTTTCCACCAATCACAGACCAGAGTTTTTATCATTACAATTCAACTTGATTCTGTAGGGTAGTGGGCCAATTCTTCCATGTGAGAAAGGCGTAAAGGGAGAAGGAGGACGACCAGGATTTGATGGCCTTCCAGGTAGCGAGGGACCTCCAGGACCACCTGGCCCCCGTGGCCCAGACGGCACCAGGGGACTCCCAGGAAACCCAGGACGTGAAGGACCAGAGGGACCAAAAGGAAACAAGGGAGATGGTGGTTTACCAGGCGCTCCAGGTATTGATGGATTTGAAGGTCAACCAGGACCCCAGGGAGTCAAGGGAGAACCAGGTCCAAGTGGAGAACCAGGCAGAGCTTTTCCAGGAGCTAAGGTAAAAATGAGTGCAATTGTAGAATAAATTAAGTCAACCAATCATAGACTCAAAAACATGACATGTGACCTGTGTTCAACCAATCACAGACTGAGAAACACGACATGTGACCTCTGTTCAACCAATCCCAGAATGAGAAACAATCAATATTTAAAACAATTATCCAAACACCTCTCAATTTAAATGCCTTTTTTCAGTCCCATTTTTATTATGTGAGTCATGCTTTAAACTTTTAAGGGAAATGTTGGCCCCGCTGGACGAGATGGCTTTGATGGATTACCTGGCACAAAGGGATTCCAAGGCCCCCCAGGTCCCCCTGGTGACACAGAGGGTATCCCAGGACCCACAGGCCCACAAGGACCCAAGGGAGATCGTGGTCTAAGTGGACGAAATGGACAATCAGGCCTTCCTGGTTTACCAGGAGATAAAGGTCAGCTGCATTTCTTGAAATCTCACACTTGTTATGTTACCACTGAAGTTGTTATGTTACCACTGAAGTTGTTATGTCACCACTGAAGTTGTTATGGCCTCTTTTTGTGTCAGCCTTTAGTGGTTGGCATTCAGCATTTGTAACAAATGGCAGGTTGTGACATTTTGCCTGTCATTGTCTTTTTATTTTTTTTATTCTATTGAAGATTTGTTAAAATAACTGAGAAATTGTTTAAAGTATCGAGATATTGTTCAAGTAAATTGGAATTGTTCAAGTAAATTGAGAAATTGGTCAAGTAAATTGAGAAATAATTTTGTGCATGTGTCTACAGGTGACCGTGGAGGTGTATGTCAAGCATGCTCCCCTGGTCTTAAGGGAGAAAAGGGAACCCCTGGATTTGATGGTCTACCAGGGCCCAGAGGACCAGCAGGGTCAGCGGGTGATCCAGGACTTCCTGGACAACGTGGTGATGATGGTCTGTCAGGATTACCCGGACCAACTGGACAAAATGTAAGTGTGTGATTCGTTGAATCAGCTTATTTAATGAAGATTTGATTTGTGACTTATGAACCATTTAAACTTTCCTATAAATCCTGACCTAAATGTAGCACGATTTAATAGATTGTTCTATTTCAAAAAAAAATCTCAGTTTTTAGGTACAGTTTTTAGCTACATGAGTATCGTGTCATTAAGTAAAATACCACATAAGTACAATCATATAAGAACAATATCTTCCTTTTTCAGGGTAATCCAGGATTACCAGGTTTGCCAGGAGCCAAGGGAGCAAAGGGAAATCCAACTCAAGTCAATTCTATACCAGGACCAAGAGGTTAGTTCAAAGGGGCAATCTCTGCTCTGTAATTCTGCTGCTAAATTATTCCAAAATGTTATTTGCAATAGTTCAACCAATCAAAGAATGAGAAACATGACATGTGACCTGTGTCAAACCAATCACAGAATAAGAAGCATGACATGTGACCTGTGTCAAACCAGTCACAGAATGAGAAACATGACATGTGACCTGTGTCAAACCAATCACAGAATGAGAAGCATGACATGTGACCTGTGTCAAACCAATCACAGAATGAGAAACATGACATGTGACCTGTGTTCAACCAATCGCAGAATGAGAAGCATGACATATGACCTTTGTCAAACCAATCACAGAATGAGAAACATGACATGTGACTTGTGTTCAACAAATCACAGACTGCGAAACATATATGACATGTGACGTGTGTTCAACCAATCCCAGAATGAGAAAAATTAAGTATTCAGAACTATTATAAAAAAAGCTATGAATGAGATTAAAAGTGAATTATTGAAATTGTATTACAGGTTTCAAGGGAGAACCAGGTCAACCAGGATTTGATGGTTTACCAGGGCAAGCTGGCTCAGCTGGCCCCCCAGGACGTGACGGAAGAAATGGTCTACCAGGTGCCCTAGGAGCTAAAGTATGTCACATTTTAGTAAACTATATCACAGTAGTACTTAAATTGCAATTCTTGTAGTCTGGAGTATAAGTACAAGCATTACAAATTTGATTTCCTTTATGCAATGGAAATATTCATCATGTGAAAGATACATGTAAAATCGATTTTTAAGGGCCCCATGGAAAAAACGATTTGCCAAGGCACTCACTGTTCTGTATATAGTATGTTTTTCCTCTTTTAGGGAAACCCAGGCCCAGCTGGATTTAATGGCCTTCCCGGAGCCAAAGGAAACACTGGCTTGCCTGGACAAATTGGAGACCCTGCCTATGGTACAAAGGGAGATAGAGGTCTTGATGGTATTCCAGGTTTACCAGGACAGAAAGGAGAACCAGGTACATGTGATAAAATATATAGAGATTATCCTATATGAGGTTCAGGATATTGGGATTATCCCGAGGCAAATATTATATATCTGCCAGAGGGCCGTAGGTCCCGAGGGGTAACCCCAATATCCTGAACCAACTATGATCTGTTTATCCCATACCAATCTTGGTCATCTTGGTTCACATTGTTCAATTGGCCACAGTTCAGAAAGTTTCCAACCAACCATGGAATTATTTCAGAATATTCATGTCCAGTTTTGTTTTCTTGGCCTTGGCCGGATTTTCTTGTTCTTTCAGATATTCGTCGACATTTATTTTCTTGATTCTTAACAGTTTTGTTTTCTTGGCCTTGGCCGGATTTTCTTGTTCTTTCAGATATTTGTCGACATTTATTTTCTTGATTATTAACAGGGATACATATGCTCCTTCCCTTCTTTAAACCATCAAACAGATCGCGATTATCTGCGTTTTTCTCGATTGTCGTTTACAGTAATTATGGGAATGTTACAAAAAATGAACCAATATGCGAACAGTGTGATGTAGCGGGCAGATATACTATATCTGTCCGCTCGGAGCATGACATAATTTTATATCTGCCCAGTGATGAAAATATAATTTTTACAAACCTGCTTTATGTACCTGTAACAAGTCCAAGTATGGGATAAATTTATTTATTTACTCATAAACTTACAAATTGATGCCATATTTCAATACAGACATTTCAGTGGCGGATTATTTCTGAATCAGACAGTTTTTTGAAATAATTTGCACTTAATTGAAATGTATGATAGAATTACAAAGCAATTTTAACAATTTTCAAATATTTTCAGCCAAACCACCCACAGACATCACAGCTGGACCTAAAGGAGACAAGGGAGACCCAGGCTTTGGTGGACAGAACGGATTCCCAGGTGTCAAGGGTGAACCCGGTCGAGATGGTACACCAGGGCTAAATGGTAAATCACTGTTTTATTTGTATAAGCGATACACCCCCTGGGGGTGTCTTTATCATTATTATGTAAATATGTTAATATGATTTTAATAAATAAACAAAAAAAAATAAATGAAAAAAAAAAATTCATGAAAAAACCATGTTATTAGAAGTGTTATGACAAAACAAGGTTAGTGAAATGCTAAAGTTCCAAAAATTATTTTTGTTAAATATTTCTTGATACATTAGGTTTGCCTGGCATGAAGGGAAATGCCGGAATAGATGGACTTCCTGGTGGCCCTGGCCCCAGAGGGTTAACGGGACAAAGGGGCGAGAAAGGCACCGCAGGACTCCCTGGTCTACCAGGGGCAAGTGGTCCCAAAGGATTTGATGGACTGCCTGGTTTGCCAGGACGTGAAGGTTAGCGATCTTTCAGCTTTATTATCACCATTATGTTTGCTAATCTCTGATTGGTCAGTAAACATATAAACATATCACATGATCATTCAATATATACCCATTGTGCTTTTTCATTATTAATAAGAGCTAATCTCTGATTGGTTAATTGACCTAAGGAGGGGATTATTATTCAATTGATTGTAATTATATACTCTTATGTACAAATGTTTACATCAGAATTTTTTGTTTCAAATATGTTGTCATTCTTATTTAGGACCAAAGGGAGAGTCCTGCAGAGGTGTTGGCCAGAAAGGAGAGCCAGGGCTTGACGGACTTCAAGGAACAAAAGGAGAGTCTGGTTTACCCGGACGTCAAGGACAAGATGGACTTCCTGGTACCCCAGGAAGTCGCGGCGGAAGTGGAGAAGATGGTTTACCAGGTGTCGCTGGTCTACCAGGTCAAAAGGGAGATAAAGGTGCCTTTGGAGTTGGCGGAGTTCCTGGAGAACCCGGACCCAGAGGACCTGGTGGACGCGATGGATTCCCAGGTAAGTGGCGAGAATATTGTTATTGTTCCTATTCAACCTTTTTGTGACTACTTTTAGATTTGTCTTTTTTAACGAAATTATATATATTATCACTCCCCCTAGGATTCTGCATGCTTGAAGTGGAGGTATCCATTAAAGCAAAAGTATTAATTGATATATATATTTTATCTAAGATTGTATGGTATTACAGGATTACCAGGAACAAAGGGTGACCGTGGTCGAGATGGGCAGGATGGTTTACCAGGCGCTAGAGGAGAAGATGGTTTATCAGGTCTACCAGGTAAAATACAGCAGGGGATTTTGAATTTCATCACTTCTTTTGTTTCCTTGAATTTCACTTTTGAACTGCATCTCGAATTGAGAATTTCAACGAATAATTTGTCATTTTCTGATATTATACTAGAGTTCAATATGAATATTCTTATGTATGTCCATCTCTAGCAGTCTTTGTTGTATATTCTCCATTATTATCTTGAAGTCCTTCTTTACAACATTGATATTTCATGTTGTCATTGATTTTACTTGTTAAAATTTTAATTGTACATGTTAAAACATTGATATCACATGTTAAAACATTGATATTTATAGGATATCCTATGATTTTGAGGAATATAATTTTTATCTACGAGGTGATATTGATATCTGCACGAGAGAGCAAAGCGAACAAGTACATATGTCAATATCACCGAGTAGATTAAAATGATATTTTGAAAAAATCATAGGATGTTCTTATTATCCTACACTTACAAGGAGTGTAGTAAATGTATAATATCATTGAAAAATGAATTTCATGACAAATAGAGTCAATTTGGTGGGAAATCAACAACGGAGTATATCGTCACAATATCCTCCACATATTGGTTTTCCGGAGTATATTGTCACGATATCCTCCACTTATTGGTTTTCCGGAGTATATCGTAGCGATATCCTCCAGTTATTCATTTTGCCAATAGATATCAAATTTATTTTTTAATGTTATTATACATTTAGCACACTAAGTGTAGGATAATACATCTTATTTTACATGTGAAAATTGATATTGAAAACATTGATATTACATGTTAAAACATTGATTTTACATGTAAAAACAAACATTGATATTACATGTTAAAACATTGATATTACAGGAAGCCCAGGTCTTCCTGGAAATGATGGTTTCCCCGGATTGGATGGGCCAGCAGGTGAAGATGGATTCCCAGGTATCCCAGGAGAAAAGGGAGATGGAGGGCTGCCTGGATTACCAGGGGCCGCTGGACCTAAGGGTGCATCTGGATTCCCAGGTCTCCCTGGTATGAAGGGGGGAAAAGGCAACTTTGGTCTCCCAGGTACCCCAGGGGCACCAGGAAATGATGGTATGATTTGTTTTGTTTTTTGATACAGTAATTTAATTTATTTATTGTCATATACATATGCTACAACATATTGAATATTGCAATAGAATTAATGATGAGCTTTTACAAATACAGTACAGTTAAACCTGTCTATTCTGAATACCACCAGAACATTTCAAAGTGTGCAGATTGGTAGGTGTTCACACAATTAGGTGTTCAGATTGGTAGGTGTTTAAATTAGGTGTTTGGATGTGTTTAACTGTTTGTACAGAGATGTCTGGCAGTTAGCATGAATTATACTTCAAGTACAGATATTTACATAGACATATCACATAATTCAAAATAGTGAATAGAAAAATAAATCAAATGAAAAAGTAGAAAAAATATAAATGAATAAAAAATTTAGTAATAATACTCAAAAATTTAAGAAAAATTAAAAATGGTTGTTTATTTGTGTCATGTAATATGTGTCATGTGTTTTATATGTGTCATGTGTTTTATATGTGTCATGTGTTTTATGTGTGTCCAGGACCAAAGGGAAACAGCGGATTACCAGGTCTACCAGGGTCTAAAGGAGAGGCAGGGGAAGCAGCTCAGATCGGGGAGAAGGGAGACAGAGGACTCGACGGAGCAGCAGGAAATCCCGGACCAAATGGACAAGATGGTTCGTAATCTCATCAACACTTTGGGTCATCTCAGAAGTTTCATACTTAATTATACTCATAATTAAGTTATCATTAAAAACTAATTAATTCATCATTAAAGATTGCTTGAAGTGTAATTTGTTGAAATTATTTATTGCAAAAAGTTTCTTGAGTTATATCATTGTCTGCCTATAAGCAGCTAACATTGCTTTAATGCTCGTAAAATGAGAAATCGTCTATAATGACCAGATATATGGCGTGATTGGCCAATGGCAATTCAGATTTAAATGAATTGGATTCAAAAATTTACTTTTAGAATTGATGCATTGAAGAAAATGGAGTTAATTATATGAAAAAAATGGAAAATGGAATTAATGTAAACCATCATTTATGTAACCATAGTGTATATTCTTGCTATGTTTAAAATCAAATGGATCCATTTTTTAGGATTCCCTGGTCTACCAGGAATAAAGGGAGAGGAAGGCCCAGCAGGACGTGGTGTAGATGGTCCCAAAGGAGAGCCAGGCCGCCCAGGATTGGATGGTCTTCCAGGAAATGATGGCTTATCAGGACAAAAGGGCGCTGATGGACTACCTGGATTTGCTGGTATGAAGGGAGAGCGAGGTCTCGATGGATTGTCAGGGACTCCGGGACGTGATGGTATTCCAGGGTTACCAGGAATGAAAGGTACATATTTTTTTTATTTTTTTTTTGAGGCTGAAGATTTGATGCTAGGTGAGAGGTATTCGGTTTTCCTCTCCATTCTTTATAGTAGTCATTTTTATTATGGTATTTTACTTGGATTTTAAAAGATACATACTCTTCCAGCACATATATGCTCAAATATAAATTGTTAAAAGGGGATACAAGGTTGATTAATATAAGTTCTGAGAAAAAAACCTTGATTCCATTTTTTATTGTACATCTACATTTGATGTTTTTCTCCAGGTGACCGTGGTTTGAACGGAGTTCCAGGACCTGCCGGAGATAAGGGAGAAGCAGGTCTCCCTGGACAACCAGGATTCCCAGGAGATAAGGGTGACAATGGTCGCAATGGACTCCCAGGTGCCCCAGGACGCTCCGGAACCAAAGGAGAGAGAGGAAATCCAGGTCCCCCTGGAATATCAGGTAAGAAAATAGTTCCGGATAGCTAAAGATATCTACAATGTTCAAGTATATAAGAGTGAACAGTTTTGTTTGTGAAAGTTTAGCATGTGATTTGATCGTTTTTGAGTATTTTTGCTTGGCTTTTATAGAATTTTGCCATTTTTAATGATGGCATATAGTTCCTGTACCCAATGCTTTCATTAAAACAGTTTTCCTAATCAGACAGCAAACACATTAAAGCCTAAATTTATTTTGTGCTTATAATATAGAAAATAGTTTAAAATACACAGTAACAGCAACCATGCGTGGCTAACCATGTGTGGCAGTTGCACCAAGTGTGGCTTTTACTTATATTTGTGGCACACGTATTATTAATTTGTTTAATTTTCATTTCCGCTTCAGATGGTAAGCATGCCTTGACACACTGTAGTTATCAAGTTTGTAGTGTAGCGCTTTTCTTAATGTTGTCACATTTCTTCTCCTTGATATTGTAATTCTTTCCTGCTTAATATTGTAATCTTTTTGCTTGTTTTTGTAATTCTTTTCTTCTTGATGTTGTGATTCTTATATGCTATTCAAATCCCTGTTGCAAAGCTATTCTGCTCTTTGTTGTAATATCGTTAAGTTACACTGGTCTCTTTGTTGTTATCCTTTTTTGCCTATTGTTGTAATTCTATTCTGCACTTTTATTTGAGTTCTTTTTTCCCTTTTATTGTATACTATACTTTTGCACTACATTCTCTTATTTGTTGTAATTCTTTTCTACTTCTTTTTGTTAAATACACATTCTTTAGTTACATTTTAAACTCTTTATTAATTCTGATAGGAATATCCTAATAAGTGCAATTTTTACATAGATGGATATCTCAAAAACCTTTTGGCATGACATGTTTCGTTTAAAAGTGTTCAGTGATGTATATTCTCTCCTTTATATAATAATAAATATAGTACAATGTTTCATATAAATAGTACAATGTTTCATATAAATAGTACAATGTTTCATATAAATAGAACAATAGTGCATTATATTAGTACAGCATATTAGTATATTGACTAATAAAGTATTTCCAATTTTTTTATTAATGAATTTTTTTCATGATTCTTTTAAACTTATAACAATTACCAAGAGTCGATTTGACTTTAAAAAATTAATAAAAAAGTTCTCGAATGAAAAACTTGTTGTCTTTTAAGGTGGCCCAGGATCCAAGGGAGATCGAGGTTTCTCAGGACGTGATGGACTTCCAGGACTCCCTGGCGCAAAGGGTGACCCAGGCTTCCCAGGACTCAGCGGACAACCAGGTATTTTTATAGCAATTTTTCAAAGTACTGTATTATCATTGTCTTGTGGGGGGGGGGGGGGGGGGTTCTGACAGGCGCAATATAAATCTTGTTAATATGTTACCAGGAAAACTGCTTAACTGTTCATGAAATTTGGACAGATGCAAGAACAGACTAGTTTATTCAGACAGTTACACATTGAATTGACACTCCAAAAGACAAGTCTTGGTTTGGAGAACCAAGTTCATCGGTCTACTGCATGTTACACCTGCCTGGACAATTTTGATATTTTTCCATATTGTAGATTTAAATTTTTCATAAAAAAATAATTAACCCAGTAGTCTGTTCTCCAAATTGAGACTTGTCCTTTCAAATACGCTGGATTGATTTTTTTATTCAATGCTCAGTAGTTGGAAAATGAAATGTGACAACTGCCACTTCACATGACAATCTGCTTTTCAAATCAATGTTTATACGTCCCAACTGTCGTGGCATATTGGCACATTCGACATCTAATATCTGTGAATTAACTGCACATACCTGAAGTAAATACTTTTATTGACTTTTGAAATGAAAAAGTGAGAGAATATTTTTCAAATTCAAAACTCCCATTTCCTCAAACTAGGACTTAACATATATTGAAACTTCATGTTACCATGGCAACGTAGTATGGTTTCCATAGCAATGAGCTTTGGTTATCATAGTAATAGGTTTTTTCTTCTCATCATTGATTCACTGGTTATCCACTCGAATACGCTGGTTACCAAAACAAAATGTCGGACCGTCGAAGGTACGATTTTCCTTTTTCCCTTATTTCACACGTTGTAGGCAGAATTCCCACAACATTATAACACAGATGTGTATCAGTATCAAATGTTTAAGAAAATGTACATATTTGCGAACAAATAGTTCAGAAGGCAACAGAATCATCGATTTTATTCCTCATTTAAATTTCATAAACAGTATTTCAAAAAACAGTTAAGATCTGCACTTTTAACCCAAATCGTTTATGTAACTTCAGTGAGGAATTAAATCAACGATTCTGTTATCTTCTGAGCTATTTGCAAACATGTACATTTTCTAAAACATAAGATACTGATACACGTTTGGGAGAAAAATGTCATGGGGATTCTGCCTGCAATGGGTGGAATAAGGAAAAAAGAAAAATCGTACCTTTGACATACTAACATTTTTGTTACCAAAACAAACCGTTTTGGTAACCAGCATAATCGAGCGGTTCACCAGTGTAATTTCAATAAGCTAATCATTCACTTCATGTAAAAGTGCATTTTGTCATTAGAAAAACAAACTCCAATTTCCCAAACAATGATTTAACATATAAAGAAACTTTACCAAACATCCCCTCTCGCCCCCCCCCCCTTTTTGCTCCCCGATTGATATTGACCAGCTAATTATCCACTTTAAGGCAAACTACCAAACCCCCTCCTTCTCTTCCATTAATATTGATCATCTAATTATCCAATTTAAGGTGCCAAGGGAGCAGATGGCTTCCCCGGACTTGAAGGAAGACCAGGCCCTGAGGGACCAAAAGGAGATGCAGGACTCCCAGGTCTACCAGGGAGAGAAGGGCGACCTGGTTTATCATCAGAGGGACCCAAGGGTGACGAGGGTCTACCAGGTTAGTTTGCATTGCGCTGTTTCAAGAAATCAATTTATTTCTACCCATTGTGAGCCTCAATGGAATCAGTTTATTTCTACCCGTTGTGAGCCTCAATTGAGGAAACCAGTTTAATGAATTGTGTGAAAATCAATCAATGATTTTTCAAAAAAAAGAAGTTTAGAGTAATAATGTTGTATAATGAATGCACTGTAAGGGGAAGTGTTGTGGTATGATCCAATTGTATAATGACATATACTGACATTTATAGGTCCACGGTGTTTTGATGGCCCTAAGGGTGATCGTGGTGGCAATGGACGTGACGGCCTTGATGGGCGTGATGGCCAAAAGGGAGAGCCAGGAACGGCAGTACGTGAGGGACCCAAGGGTGATCGAGGACAGGATGGATTCCCAGGAATTCAAGGACGTCCAGGTCAGGATGGTCTGCCTGGAGAGGCAGGACTCCCCGGACTTCCAGGACAAAAGGGTGAAGAAGGCAGACCAGGACCACGAGGACTGGACGGACTTCCAGGAGCAAGAGGACCAGCTGGACCTAGAGGTTTGTTTCCAGTTTGATTTTATTTACATGGATGCCTTAATTATGTCAAATCATTGCTCCTATTCTATAGCATGAAGCGACATATTGTCAGTAAATAGCTACCTTAAGTACTAAGCAACTAAGGAATACCTTGGATCTGTCAAAAGTGAAATCACAAATTGAGAAATAACCAAACCAAACAACCAAATATTAAATGAGAAACTTGGCAAGTGAATTGTGTTCAATCAATCACAGAATGAGAAACATTACATATGACTTGTGTTCAACCAATCACAGAATGATAATCATGACATGTGACCTGTGTTCAACCAATCACAGAATGATAATCATGACATGTGACCTGTGTTTAACCAATCATAGAATGAGAAACATTACATGTGACCTGTGTTCAACCAATCACAGAATGAGAAACGTTACATGTGACCTGTGTTCAACCAATCACAGAATGAGAAACATAACATGTGACTTGTCTCCAACCAATAACAGACTTGGAAATATGACCATGTGACCTGTGTTCAACCAATCACAGAATGAGAAACATAACATGTGACCTGTGTTCAACTAATCACACAATTTCTTCTCCAGGACTCGATGGCCAACCTGGAGCTGATGGTCTATCAGGCCAAAAGGGAGAACAAGGAAGAGATGGATTCCCTGGACTTCCCGGGGAGAAGGGAGACAGAGGTTTGGATGGCAATGATGGCCAGCCAGGTGGCCCAGGAACACCTGGCCGTGATGGTGGAAAGGGAGAACCTGGGGATACTTCCATCCGTGAAGGACCTAAGGGTGACCCAGGTTAGTTAGCTCTCTATTAATAGGATCTTGATTAATGACATTTAGAATCAGAAATAGATTGTTTGAGAAAGTTGTTTGAGAAATACTTGACTGATTGATACCTGTGTTGGTCCTTTATCATTTGAAATATTTAAATTCCCTACCATTGTGGGTTAAAGATTAGGGTCTTCAAAATTCCAATGTTATGTATTGTAGGACTGCCAGGTCAGCCAGGAAATGATGGTTTGAATGGAAGACCAGGACAAGATGGTCTCCCCGGACTCACTGGCCCTAAGGGAGAATCTGGTAATGATGGCCCTGCTGGATTCCCTGGTCTCCCAGGACGACCAGGTGAAATTGGAGAACGAGGTATACCTGGACGAGAGGGTCTAGATGGTCTTCCAGGACCAAGGGGTAACCCAGGTCTCCCAGGTAGCCCTGGTTTACCAGGTTCAGCTCTCCCAACTGGTTATCTAATTGTCCGTCACTCCCAGACAACAAGCGTCCCACAATGCCCACGTGGACACACAAAGCTATGGGATGGATACAGTTTGTTGTATTTGGAAGGAAATGAACGTGCGCACAACCAGGATCTTGGACAAGCAGGTTCATGTTTACAAAGATTCAACACAATGCCATTTGTATTCTGCAACTTTAACAATGTATGCAACTACGCTAGCCGCAATGACAAATCTTATTGGTTGTCAACGACCGCACCTATTCCAATGATGCCTGTTGTTGAACAGGAGATTCAGCCATACATTAGTCGATGTGCTGTATGTGATGCTCCTGCCAATGTTATCTCCATACATAGTCAAACTCTAGAAATACCAAACTGTCCAAGGAACTGGGAGTCCCTCTGGATAGGATACAGTTTTGCCATGGTGAGTTTTCCTCCTTTTGTGTTTTGCTTATTTCATTAATCTATGATTCTCATACTGTCTTTCTCAGAAGATATTACTTCTCATTTTTTAAGTTCATCTTCAGACATTCTTGAAACTTTTCCACGTAATTGAGAGCTCCTCGTTCAATTAATTGACGACTATAAAATTTAGACACTACAAACTCCAGTAAGAGGGAAAAATAGCCCATAATTAATAGATGAACCCCATCTTTGCATGAAGATCAATTAGGAATTCTTGGTTATTTCCTCCTCTTAAATCCACATGTTAAAATCTGTTAATGTTCGATTATTTTTAAAAACATCAAATTTGTTCAAAATTTTATCAACCTAAACATAATTTAGGGTAATGAATTTGATTGAAATGTTATGGTTATCCCAAAGGGAGAAAAGATTATGTGTATTGTGAAGAAAAAATCAATAGAATAAATGATGAAAAATGATGTTTTTCTTGTAGCATACCGGAGCAGGTGCCGAAGGTGGTGGCCAATCACTATCCAGCCCCGGATCTTGTCTAGAAGACTTCCGTGCAACTCCATTTATTGAATGTAACGGTGCTAGAGGCACCTGTCACTATTTTGCCAACAAATATAGCTTTTGGCTTACAATCGTTAACGAGCGAGACCAATTTACAACTCCACGATCAGAAACTCTTAAAGCTGGCAATTTACGCAACCGTGTTAGTCGTTGCAATGTCTGTATGAAGCGTGTAGATTCAAACTTTGGAAACAGAGGCAGGGATAACTTTAGGAGAGGCGGGGATCAACCACCAATTAGGATATAGACATAGCAACTATGGGGTAACCATAGCAACCATGCTGTCACCATGGTAATCTAATCAGATTCTAGCTGAACAAATTCGGAACAAATTAGAATGCAAAAATGGATATTTTGTAATTTGGTTGCTAGTGTGTTACTACGTGATGTAGTGGTTACCATAGCAACTGCATATGATTTCAATGGTGCTGTGTTAAATACTATATAACATATAATTAAGGTGCATAGTGCCAAAATGGTCAGTATATAAGAAGAGGCTTTTAATGTAATATAAATAATAATGTATAATATAATTTTATAATGAACTGAGATCATCAATAATGCCAATTTTTGCCACATTTTGTGCACGAAAATTACAAAAATTGACATAAATTTTATATGGGAATTTTCTCAGAACCACAATGAGATTCTAGAAATAAACATTTACAGTGTTTTTAAGTGGATTTATATAAATAAAGAACAAACATTTTATAATAACACATTTTAGTAAATGAAGTCGCATTATGTTAATGTTATGATACTCTTGCATTTAATATATACACTGCCATTTGCATTTAAGAGTGAACTTGTAGATATCAACATTTTGTATCAGTTGACACAGATGATGAAATGGTGGCTAATATGGTTACCATGGCAACAGAGTATGGTTTCCATAGCAACATTGTTTGGTTACCATAGTAATAGGTTGATCGGTTCCATAGCAACCTTACTGTTTGTTTGTCAATTGATGTTCAAGATTGGACAGCCTGATGGAACAGGATTGACATATATCCATACAGTCAATTGTTTATGTGTTAGTAATGAGGCCTCATAATAAATGTCAACAACTGTCATTGATTGGTCAGCTCTGATCACATGATACAGAGTTCTGTGTTTTGATTGGTCATATCATATTAGATGTGCAGAATTCTGTATAGTGATTGGTCAGATCTGATCACATGATACAAAATTCTGTGTTATGATTTGTCCCACCAGATCACATGATCAGTTGAATGTGTTTCTAATTAGATGTTTATCAAGAAAACTCATTACTTCATATATTGATGGATATCTTGGTGTATTATCTCATATTATAAGCTCATTGATTGGTCAGATGAGGCCACATGATATTGAATTCTTTGTTATGATTGGCCCTACCAAATCACATGATTAGTTCATAAAATCTTTAAGTGTTAGAATAAATGAAATTGTTATAATTTCAAATTTCTTATTCATAGAAATATGAAAAGTTACACTTATGTATAATTAAATGAGGTAGCACACATAGATTATTTGTATGATGTGTATTGCATCCTGAGAGAGGAGAGATAAAAGTGCATTTATATCTTTATATTTTAATGTATAGACCAGTAGATAACAACAGTCCCTGTATGTAGAAGGCAGTACATGTAGCATAAATACACTTTCATCACATTACCCCATTTCAGTTATTACACTTCCCCCCAGTTTGAAAATCGTCCTCGGATATAAACAAACTTTGTGAAATTTAAGGCTGTTTTGTTTTAATCTAGTGTTTTAACTTATGTATTACCAGAAATAATTGGAGATGAAGGTTGGTTTGTGTTACATGTAAAATAAAGTGCCAAATTAGGATATATTATAGTGTTAGATGGACTATAGAAATTATCATTTAATTCATTCAATCTAGTCTCTATCTATCAGTCTTGTATTATATTATCATATCTTTCTTCACACCATGACATGTATATGGCTGCAACTGTCATTGATTGGTCAGATCTGATCACATGATACAGAATTCTGTGTTTTGATTGGTCATATCAGATGTGCAGAATTCTGTATAGTGATTGGTCAGATCAGGTCACATGATACAGAATTCTGTGTAATGATTGGTCCCATCAGATCACATGATCAGAAAAATTGTTTCCTTACTAAATAAGGTTTGGGTATATTCACAGATATACTTCTGGTTAATATTCATGGATAGTGATGAGTCATGACATTTATGGATATACTTGGATTGAGTCATGAATATTTTTCCAATGGTTCAATACCAAATGAATGGATTGGATGTCTATTTAGAGCTATACTTCACAAAACACTCGCCTCCTTTTGATTAGGACATTTCAATGATAAAATGTGGCCCCTTTCTTTGCATTTATTCATTACTATTGAGAAAGGGGTGCACAGATTAAATTATATAAAAATAAAGATCCCTCCAAATAAAATGTCTGTATACCTCAGCTTTGTAAATGATCGTCATAATGCAATATATAAGTCATAATGCAATATGTATATGTCATAATGCAATATACAAGTCATAATGCAATATGTATATGTCATAATGCAATACAGTTCACCATGCAATATTAAATACAATCTAAATGCTGTGACATAGTGTAATTCTTGTATACGAATATAATATACAGTATATCATTAAAAATGGTGTAATATTAAAAATAATATAAAAATAAATATATACCTTGGAATTGGTTTCTAAATCATGAAAATCTGTTCAATAAGTAGCTCTTGTAATAAAATAAAATATTAATATTATTTTAATATGCAGTATGGTACCAAATATGGAATTGGTATTTGAGGACTATATTATCAGATAATTGTGTTACATTATTATTATTAAAAATGTAATGATTATGAACTAAAACCTGCAGTTGAACTGAAACCTGCAGTTGAACTAAAACCTGTAGTTGAACTGAAACCTGCAGTTGAACTGAAACCTGCAGTTGAAACTCGTAGCTCCCTTTCTGTTAATGGCAGCCACTCTTCGCATTAGTTTATATCGTAATACCCCAGTTATACATGTATTATCAAAATATGTCATATTTCATGGCATTTCTAGCTGGTTTACTTGGCTGACTGAGTGAGTTTCGCCTCGAGGTTGTGTTTATCACATATAATAAAACGTTGTACTGAATAACATTGTAAAATATACACCATCTATACATTTAAAGACAGAAATAAATGACCAATTCCAATGTAAACATATCTTTTGTAGTTAGCTTTAAGTGTTTGTCAATATCCCAGCATTTCGTTCAGAGCAATCGTGCCCATCTTGAAAACGTGTAGTAATATAGAACCTTTTTTTTTTTTTTTAGTAATATAGAACCTAGTAACGCAATTCATGGACCTTTCCGTTTTACAATTTTTGCTCCACGGGATTGGAGATTCGTGTGTTTTCTGAAATGTTCAAGCATTATAGCGCAGTCAGATGTCCAGAAATGAGCCCTTCATACCCAGCCTTTCAGTAGGTGATGTAGGTTCGAACCTAAAGCGAACCTAAAAGTGAATCCCACAATTTGCTGACTACCTAAACGAACCTACAAAAAGTAGGTTCACTTTAGGTTCGAACCTAATCTACCTAAAACACTTTAAAACTTGTAGGTAGTTTTAGGTTCGAACCCAAAGCGAACCTAAAAAACATAGTCATTCTTCAAGAGTTACCTAAAGCGAACCTAAAAATCTTAAATCTACCTAAAACACTTCAAACTTGTAGGTAGTTTTAGGTTCGAACCCAAAGCTACCTAAAGCTACCTAAAGCAAACCTACAAAACAGAAGTTCTGTCACAGCCACTAGGGGCGCTGATAGCAGGAAGTATCAATGCATTATGGGTATAATATTCAAACTAAAATCAGTTAGACAGGGAATTTGGAAATAGCCAGGAAAATGGGGAAATATGCTGAAATGACCATCACATCAGTGCTCATTTACAAAGTACATGTAAGTAAGTGTACAAATGATCAATCAATATATTATTTTAACCTCTTGAATACCCAGAATGACGGATATATCTGTCACAGAATTTTTCACTAAAACTGCTCTTACTTTGGCAATTTTTATCCAATCTTCACAAATGATGTTTTAAAATGAATGTAATGGGTCTATGTTTACTATTCTTATGAAATCAAACATCAACTGTTGTGTTTTTATTAGATGTAAATATCAAAAAAACTGGCAAAAAATAAACAATACTCTGGTTTCAAACCCTTTTTAGAGGCTGGTATTCAAGAGGTTAAGTGTTATAAAAGCATGCAATTATAAAATAGGAGGAATTTTAAATAAATGTACCTGAGTGAGAAACTAAGCATCAAAATGTGTGAGAAATAAATAAACAGTTGACAAATAGCCTATACAGTTCACAAGTTTGTAGGGTCCAGACACCCGGCTACCTCCATAGCCCAGCTTAGGACCATCATTGTAAATAAATGTACTTGCGTGAGAATATATGCATCAAAATGTGTGAGAAATATATAAACAGTTCAAATCAACAAATCAAGTCACCCAGCTGCTGGGTGGTCTAAAGCCAACCCAGCCCTTGGAAGTATTTACCTAATGCGAACCTACGTAGGTTCGCTTTAGGTAGTTTTAGGTTCACTTTAGGCGATGTTCAAATATGCTAATTAGATTCAGGTTCGCTTTAGGTGACCACCTAAAGTGAACCTATAATTACCTAGAGCGAACCTATAATTACCTAAGCGAACCTACCTAGGTTCGCTTTAGGTAGTTTTAGGTAGTTATAGGTTCGCTTTAGGTGATCACCTAAAGTAAACCTAGACCTAATTAGCATATTTGAACATCGCCTAAAGCGAACCTACCAATGGAGTTTTTATATGGGGAACTACCTAAAGCGAACCTAGAAATCCTAGTTAAATATATCACCTAAAGCGAACCTACTGAAAGGCTGGGTAGTTCGACTTTTTCAGGAAAGCAACAAACTTGGCACAGTTGTAGAAACACTTGATCTGAGTGGAAAATGATTTCGGGGCAAGTGATCCGGAGTGGTCTTCATGGATTTTTTAGTCTCTGACCCCAACCCCTATCAGGCGGGGAGGGGGTACATTATAAAAAATAAATAAAAATGGTTTTGAAGTAAATTTTTTTAAATGACTTCATTTGGTGATTGCTCTGAGCCTTGAAATTGAGACAAACCGATTGTAGATGTGGTGTTTAGTGTGGAAAATGCATTTTGACCCAATTATCTAGCGTGAATTCATCTTTTAAAGGGTCAAATATGGGACATCAAGTACTGTATTTCAAGAATGTGATGTCTGATCATCTTGGAAAAATTCATACTAATAGGGGTATAAGTGTTCATCACAAATATAGAATATGGCTTTGGTAGCTCATGTATTTTTTGAGATAAAAATTATCGAAATTTGAATTTTTAAGCCCTAGCGGCCTAGGGGTAACCTTATTCTACCTTAATAATTTTTAAGATATGCAATGTATGGGTCTCATATGAGCTCAAAATGGTGCATTGAGTCTTGTTTTGTCATATTATTCCTAATTGGATTGAAAAATGATTGGAACTTTTCAAAAGAAAAAAAAATTTCATTATCGCTTCTGAAGGGCCAGGGGTAACCATATTTTACCTTAATAACTTTCAAGGTTTGTAATATAAGTATCCCAAATTAGCTCAAGATGGTGCATATACAGTATATATAGTTCTGTTTAATCATAATACCTCCAATAAGATGTAGAAAATGATTGGATATTTCTTAAAATTTGAAATTTTCATTTTAGCTTATGCTGGCCTGGGGGGGGGGGCTTATTTAACCTTGAACTTTTCTTAATTATGAGACGTATGCATCTCAAATGAGCTTAGAATTGTGTCATATACTCTTGTTTTGTCATATTATTCCTTAGGAGATGTAAAAAATAATGGAAATTTGAAAAATGACATTTTTAGCTTTTGACAGGTCAGGGGTGATTTTATCATATACAGGGTGTCTCAAAAAAATGTACCCAAAAGTATATCAAGAGCACAGATAAACCAATCAATATTTTCAGACATTTTTTGCATGGTCATGTAGCTAAAACATGAAAGTTTTCTCCCCAATACACCATTTTTATTTCAGTCTTGTCTTTCTGATGCTTAAACCTTTTACCTTTTACACCACATAATCGATGTAACCTCATATTTCGATGACAGCCTGTATCCTTACTGCTACATTATTCATCACATTTGATAATAATTATGGTGGAATGTTTTGGATTTCTCTTTGGATGTTGCCCTTAAGTTGTTCTCGGTCTTTTTGCTTGGAATGAGCATTAAAACACTCCTTCAAATAGCCACAGAGAAAGATGTTTGAGGATAACATGGCAGGACAAACACAGATAATCAGGTCAATTATCGGTAAATGATTCAGAAGTTACCTTCCAGAGTTAGGCAGGCTAGCCTGTAGACCAAATAATATCCAAATGAAAACACAGTGGTCTCAAATTGATACACACAACGAAGGCTACACTAGAATCCCAACCAATGTAGTTTCTTGAACCTCTAACCTCTCTGTATAAGGGGGCTATAAGACATCGTGAGGGCTTCCCTATTCACCATATTTTAGGGTCCATACTTTTTTCTCTGAGGCTATTTGAAGGACCATTTTTATGCTAAACCCAAGCTAAGAGACCAAGAACAACTTAAGACCAGCATCCAAACAGAAATCAAAGCATTCCACCAGAAATATCAAATGTGATGAACAATGTAGTAGTAGGGATGCAAACTGTCATCGAAATATGAGATTACATTAAATATGTGGTGTAAAAGGTAACGGGTTAAAGTATCAAAAAGGCAAACTGAATTAAAAACTGTGTATAGGGGAAAAAACTTTCATCTTTTATCTACAAGGCCATGCAAAAAATGTCTGAAAATATTGATTGGTTTGTCTATGCTGTCGATATACTTTTGGGTACATTTTTTTGAGACACCCTATATTACCATAATATAGAAGCAAAAGAAGGGGTGAGTTTAGCAGCCCCATCCCCATGACCGATGCCATTGGCAGCTTGGGTCTTAAAGCATTTATGACCCAAGCTGCAATAAACCATGCTGACCTATTCTCAACCAATCAGCGAGCTTGAAGGAACAAGTGGTAAATGCGTGCACATTAATGATGCGATTTCGTCAGAGAAAATGACCATATAGAAAGCCGTCCTTATTTCGACAACAAACTCTGATTAGCGCAGTGAGTTCAGAGATTCATTGAAAACTGATAGAGTGAAGACGAAGCTCTCTTTTAAAAAGGAAAGTCGAATGAATGCAAAGGGTAGTAAGTCCAGTCACCTTAGCCTGATGGGGGGGGGGTTAAGGTGAGCTGCTTCTGTCAAGGATTCTGTCAGTGAATAATGACAGTCAATGATTGGGCACAAGAATGCCAAATGTTATCACAATAATTTTCAAGATAAAATGATCTCAAAATGGGGAAAATAGTCTGTTTTTCACTTTATTCCTACTGAGATAATGATTAACAACAATTAGAAAATTCAGTGACACATTTAAATCTCAATCCATTTATTCCATTTTTCCATAGCAGTAGAAT